ATTTTCTGTATTTCTACAAAAGCAGTTGTATTGTTTTTTATGTCTTTAAACATTATGTAATATTATTTTATGCACTGTCATCATTTTTCAAATATTGAGACTTTCATAATGTGAATTTGAACTCTCATGGTCCTGAAACTGTAATCTTATTGAAGGGGTGGATTGAGACCATCTTCTGGGTCTTCCGGAAGGCAGTCAGGTTATTAAGTTTATATTGACTGGTATCTATTTTTTCTGTTGGAAGACCATCAAAATGGAGGATGGATCAACATAGATACTTTGTAATACTGTCAGAAAATATCTCTGGGTCTGCTCCTGTTATTGACCATGTTACCTGTTGTGCAAGATTAAAATTCAGTGTTGACTGAGAGTGCTATTATAAGCATTATTTATTATTGCATCAAAATTGACAAAATGACCTTTTTTGCATCTTTATTTTCTGTTTTTTGTCTGTACATTTGACAGCTTTGCTGCCTTGTTTGAATATGAATGCTGTTGTGAACCATATTATAAACAATAAAAAAGAGAAATATAATTTGACACCTTTTATTGCAAAAGAATTACGACTTACGACAAATGTTCTTGGTGTACATGGGTCTGTATCCATCAAAATGTTTCATGGTCTTGTGCCACCACAATAGATGCTGCCCTCTGATGGAATAAAATATGAAAACCTCAATTTTTGTTGAATTTATAAGTGTACTAGGAATAGAAGTTATCTGCTGTCCAGCTGATGAGATGGATTTCTCAAAGCAAGACATTGGTGGAGTGCTGTTTCAGTATCCTGACACAAATGGCAGCATTGAAGATCTGTCTGCATTCGTAGCTGATGCTCAAGCAAATGGGGTAACAATTTATACCTTCTTGATGTTTTTTTTTTAAATTTTATTCTTACATTACAATGTAGAGATAGTTATAGGCTTTATAACCTGATAAATCAGGTTGGCATTCACAACAGTGGACTAACTAGTCCGCAGATCAAATATGGCTGACCCTTGAATGCTTGTTGCATAATTCCTTGGGGGAATCTATTCAGTGTCTAATAGGGGATTACATGACAAACTTTATTGTGGGTTATTATTTTTGATCTGTGGACTAGTTAGTTCGCTGCTGTGAATGCTGCCTAGGATATCAATTTTTGTCATTAATAAGACATACCAGTGGACAACCATATGACAAACATTGATATCAACACCACCACAACCACCACAACAAGAACATGTTAGCTACCCAGATATCTTGAATAAATATTGAAAAAAGAAATTGTTACAACAGTTTGTGTCCTACTGACAGCAAGTGGGTGATGTCATCATACTGATTGTTTTATTCTGATAAAGGACCAGTTAAGTAAAAACTTAAAAGCATGTAGCCTCAATTTTCTCCTTTCATTTCAGACCCTAGTTGTATGTGCCACTGACCTGTTAGCCCTCACAATCCTGAGGCCCCCAGGGGAGTTTGAAGTGGACATCACTGTAGGCACCAGCCAGAGGTTTGGGGTTCCCCTGGGGTATGGGGGGCCACATGCAGGGTTCTTTGCTGTGAAGAAAAAGTACATAAGAATGGTGCCAGGAAGGATGATTGGGGTTACAAAGTATGCTTTTTAAAAAATAATTTTAAACTTAAATATTGGTACGTTTTATTACTTTTTAAAAGCTTTATCTATTGTACCAGACATCCTTACTTTTTCTTATTAGTGATAAAAGTGAGAAGATTATAAAATATTAAATTTTCAAAAATTTATTACACAATTTTCCTTTAAATTTTTATACCATTTCACCAAATGTTAAGGTTTAAATGAAAAAATACATAAATTTACTCATAAACATACCAAAAACAGTTCAACAAAGTTCATACAAAATTCAGAGTGAACATAACTTATCCTTTCTATGTGTATTTAAAAACGTTATTTCATTTAGAGATGCCAGTGGAAAAGAAGCCTACAGGCTGGTCCTGCAGACAAGAGAACAGCACATTCGCCGTGATAAAGCCACTAGTAATATATGCACTGCCCAGGCTCTTCTGGCCAATATGTCAGCCATGTATGCTGTGTATCATGGCCCCCATGGCCTGAAACACATTGGAACCCGGGTTCACCATGCTGCACTGATTTTGAATGAGGGTAAGAAATTATTCATGCTGTAACGTCTGATAATATGAGCTTGTCATAATCTCTCTCTGTCTTTCTGTTTCATGTTTCTTCATAGTCATTGTTGTCCATTTACAACTTTTTTGAAAGTGGTATCTCCACTTATATTGACTCTTCATGTGCTTTGAAAAGGTTAATGTCAATAGTCGGGGTATAAATCAGTCTTATCAATGTTATATAAATAACTTCTCAGGTGTAGAGAGTGCTGGTCACTCACAGGTCAACAACGTATTTTATGACACCCTGAAGATCATGCCAGCTGACCAGGAATTGAACAATATTATTCAGAGGGCTCAGGAAAAGAAAATCAATCTCAGATATTTCCCTGATGATCATGTGAGTCTAAGGAAAATCCATGGAGACTTTTTTTTTACTTAATTTATCATAATTGTCTTAACTCTTGTGTTTTTAAGTAATGAATGATTTCTGGTAGAATACTGGTATTGCTGAAAGACTACTGGTATTGCTGAAAGACAAGATATTAATTAGCATACTTTTTTGTGTAACCCCCCCCCCCCAAAAAAAAAAAAAAAACACTTAAATTGGTTATTATTTGAGTCGAAATCTTGTAGACATTGTCTCTTGTAGACATTGCCTATATAGCAGAAAACTCTGTACAGCATCTTTTTAAAATCTTTAAATTGACCTGAATTCCAAAGACACCTTTTTCAGATTGGAGTATCTCTGGATGAGACAGTTGAAATAGAAGACCTCAATGACTTATTATGGGTATTTGGTTCTCAGGAGAAAGCTGTGAGTTACACATTTTCATATTTTATCTTTAACATTTTGCATTGTGTTTATCTAATCAAATTCATGCACAACATTGTCTTGGGATATTTTTGTTATTGAAATTATTCAGATATTATTGTAGATATTACAGTTTGATATCACTGTTTCTGGGGAAATCTATCATTATTATTGGGTATAAAATTTCAGGAAGATATTGCAGTGGCTTTGGAAAGAGATTGTCCCAGATCTCTGTTTAATACTCCATTTAAAAGGACATCAAAATATCTCACGGAAAATGTATTTAACAGGTAAAGGCTAAATGATGCGAGTTCTTTCAAAAGTGTCTTGTCATTTGAGCAAAAGAGGTGAATTGTAGGACATTCTTATAGTAGAAAGACATTACACTGAATATACCTCTTAGCTCCATTTAACTAATTCAGACATGCATATGCAACGGTTCACAACAAAGTCTAATTTCTCTTTGTTCTTATTTATTCCATACCATCTTGCTGTAAATATATAAAGAGCGATGAGCAAAGAAGAATTTGTGCGATCATCATAATAATGTTATTAATAGCTATAATCTTAATATATAATAAGTATAATAATAATAATGATAATATTCATAAAAGAATTAAACTATTGACCACGTACCTGTAAATATATAAAGAGCGATGAGCAAAGAAGAATGACAGAAAAAGGCGGCGACGATATTTATAAGCGACGAAAGGCGGGAAAGATGACCAATGGGAATGAGAGAGTAAGATGACGCCCACGTGACAAAACAAAAGACGAACACGAGTGAAGAAAAAACATTCATACGGCTACACATATGAATGCATATTTCAGTTTTACTTTTCAAGAATACAGTAATTGATAATTTTTTTCATCATAACATAAATATTTCACTTTGAAATATCACCACCGATTCATATGAAGTAACGCATTTAAATTTAAAACTATAAAACACATCAGATGACTAACACAAACATTCTTAGGAAACCAGCAAAAACTTGACAGTGTATTTTCCTTTTTTTTTTTTTTTTGCTTTCAGATTTCACTCAGAGACACAAATTGTGAGATACATGAAGATATTGGAAAATAAAGATGTATCTCTAGTTCACTCCATGATTCCATTAGGGTCATGTACAATGAAGCTGAACAGTACCACAGAAATGATTGTAAGCATGACCATTGAATTAACTGAGATTTTGATAATTTGTTCTTTTTTCCTGTGCATTTTATAGTATTATTTAATGTTGATAATTGATGTAAATTAAAATAATTATCTAACTCTTACCAGCATTTTGTTAACATTTTATTTGTTCAGTATTATTAATATCTTTTTATGATCAGTTAGATAAAATAGATAAAAGATAAATTTGTGGGACAGATTTGCTTTTTCTGAAATTAATAAATAAAGATAAAATGTCTCTTTTTAGCCGTGTTCCTGGTCAGAATTTGCTCACATTCACCCATTTGCTCCTGTTGAGCAGGCACTAGGATACCTTCAACTGTTTGAGGAGCTGGAAAAAGACCTCTGTGAAATCACAGGGTATGACAGAATCTCTTTCCAACCAAACAGGTATGTGTTTGGCATCAAAGCATGTGAAGTTCCAAATGATGCTGTGTTGATATGATTGAAATCCTTCCCATATTTTTGGTTTCAGTTTGGAGTTTCATGCACAGATGTACTGGAAAAATGTGATGAAAAATCATCAGAAAAGTTGGTTTATATTTACCAGAGAGTCTTTGATATGCATATTGATATGCTATCAACAGATGAGATTGATATTTTGATATTTTGTTCAATTCCAGTGGAGCCCAGGGTGAATATGCAGGTCTGAGGGCAATAATGGCATATTTAAAATCAAAAGGACAATCACACAGAACAGTAAGACTTTGGATTATGAATTGTAAAATCTTGTACAAAACTTTTGAAGCTTTTGAAAGGGTCATTCTAAAACATTAAAGAGAGTTGGCCTTTTTCATATCAATATTTGTAAACATCTGAAATCTTTTTTTTGGCTTGAGCAAAGATTTCATTAACCTGAGTAATGCATTTTGCTTATTTTATGCAGCTTTAACTTTTACATTCAAGTTTTATCACTGTTTTCAAGGTCTGTCTGATCCCAGCTTCTGCCCATGGTACCAACCCTGCAAGTGCACAAATGGCTGGGATGGAAATCAAACCTATCAAAGCAGACAAATATGGTGAAATAGACATGGTCCATCTCAAAACCATGGTAGAAAAGCACAAAGACAATTTAGCGTGTATGATGATTACATATCCCTCTACTTTTGGAGTGTTCGAGGAAAGAATAAGGTAAGATTCCCTAAGAACAATTATTTTAATTCTTAATGAATAGAAGTGTAGCACATCAACTCTGAAATTAAGAATCTCACTTGGAAATAAAGTAATTTTTCAAGCTGATGTGTGACTTGTTTATTCAATGAGTCCTGCTTGCTGTAATTACACAACATCTGTTGGGTTAGTCGATCCCCCCTCCCTTTTTCCATCTATATACCTTGTTCTGGAGAGGATGGTTCGTATCATTTCTTCTTCAGGAACAAGTGCATGAGTTCACCCACTAGTGTATATCAATTCTTCACCTGTATTAATCTTCAGGGACATTTGCAGTCTGATTCATGATAATGGAGGTCAAATCTATCTGGATGGTGCCAACATGAATGCCCAGGTGGGGCTGTGTAGACCTGGGGACTATGGAGCTGATGTCTCCCATCTCAACCTACACAAGACTTTCTGCATACCCCATGGTGGGGGAGGCCCTGGCATGGGACCCATTGGAGTGTAAGTAGGTTTTGTGGGTTTATGGAGCAAGCTGTCATGAACAGGCCTGTGTTAAGTANAGATAAAATAGATAAAAGATAAATTTGTGGGACAGATTTGCTTTTTCTGAAATTAATAAATAAAGATAAAATGTCTCTTTTTAGCCGTGTTCCTGGTCAGAATTTGCTCACATTCACCCATTTGCTCCTGTTGAGCAGGCACTAGGATACCTTCAACTGTTTGAGGAGCTGGAAAAAGACCTCTGTGAAATCACAGGGTATGACAGAATCTCTTTCCAACCAAACAGGTATGTGTTTGGCATCAAAGCATGTGAAGTTTCAAATGATGCTGTGTTGATATGATTGAAATCCTTCCCATATTTTTGGTTTCAGTTTGGAGTTTCATGCACAGATGTACTGGAAAAATGTGATGAAAAATCATCGGAAAAGTTGGTTTATCTTTACTAGAGAGTCTTTGATATGCATATTGATATGCTATCAACAGATGAGATTGATATTTTGATATTTTGTTCAATTCCAGTGGAGCCCAGGGTGAATATGCAGGTCTGAGGGCAATAATGGCATATTTAAAATCAAAAGGACAATCACACAGAACAGTAAGACTTTGGATTATGAATTGTAAAATCTTGTACAAAACTTTTGAAACTTTTGAAAGGGTCATGCTAAAACATTAAAGAGAGTTGGCCTTTCTCATATCAATATTTGTAAACATCTGAAATCTTTTTTTGGCTTGAGCAAAGATTTCATTAACCTGAGTAATGCATTTTGCTTATTTTATACAGCTTTAACTTTTACATTCAAGTTTTATCACTGTTTTCAAGGTCTGTCTGATCCCAGCTTCTGCCCATGGTACCAACCCTGCAAGTGCACAAATGGCTGGGATGGAAATCAAACCTATCAAAGCAGACAAATATGGTGAAATAGACATGGTCCATCTCAAAACCATGGTAGAAAAGCACAAAGACAATTTAGCGTGTATGATGATTACGTATCCCTCTACTTTTGGAGTGTTCGAGGAAAGAATAAGGTAGGATTCCCTAAGAACAATTATTTTAATTCTTAATGAATAGAAGTGTAGCACATCAACTCTGAAATTAAGAATCTCACTTGGAAATAAAGTAATTTGTCGAGCTGGTGTGTGACTTGTTTATTCAATGAGTCCTGCTTGCTGTAATTACACAACATCTGTTGGGTTAGTCGATCCCCCCTCCCCTTTTCCATCCTTAAACCTTGTTCTGGAGAGGATGGTTCGTATCATTTCTTCTTCAGGAACAAGTGCATGAGTTCACCCACTAGTGTATATCAATTCTTCACCTGTATTAATCTTCAGGGACATTTGCAGTCTGATTCATGATAATGGAGGTCAAATCTATCTGGATGGTGCCAACATGAATGCCCAGGTGGGGCTGTGTAGACCTGGGGACTATGGAGCTGATGTCTCCCATCTCAACCTACACAAGACTTTCTGCATACCCCATGGTGGGGGAGGCCCTGGCATGGGGCCCATTGGAGTGTAAGTAGGTTTTGTGGGTTTATGGAGCAAGCTGTCATGAACAGGCCTGTGTTAAGTAGATTTACCATCTGTATCACATTTCCAAGTCTTTATATATAGCAAAATATCTTATGCTTAAATAAGTAATAGAAACAGGAAAACGTACGACTTGCCTTATTATTTTATTAGTAGTCCTTTAGATAACATTTTAAATTATGTTAAGTCTCACTAGTGTCTCAGTAATAGTGCTGTCCCAAATTACTGAGACATTAGTGAATAGTGTTCATTCTCAGAGTCACACACACTGAGGAAGGTCATGGTAATGATCGAAAGCTTTGTTCGGTACAGCTCAAGTAAGTGTAGGAATTAAAAAGTTCAAGTGTATAACATAATCAAAAGACTACACAGGTATTTTCCATCAAAATAACATTTTTTTATTGTCTTTCATCTTTCAGAAAACGGCATTTGGCTCCTCATCTTCCCACACACCCCATCATCCCTCCATATGGGACCACGGGACCAGAGGCAGAGTCTTTTGGTGTGATCAGTGGTGCCCCCTATGGTTCAAGTGCCATTCTACCAATATCCTGGGCATATATCAAGATGATGGGGGCAGAGGGATTGAGACATGCCACAGAGATTGCCATTCTTAATGCCAACTACATGAGCTATAGACTGAAGGGCTATTATAAGACACTGTATAGCAATTTTGCTGGTGAGCAATTTTTTTATTCATGATTTTTATCTTAAAATGCTAATAGTATTAATTGATAACTGTGCTAATAATGAAATAGATGTAAATGATGATTGATCAGGTCTGTTCATTTAATTAGTATTCAGTTCAAGGAATGCCTGTTGAATCTTAGCTATCGTGTTTTGTAACAAGGAAAAGTTTCAGTACGGAACTTTGTTTTTTGCTTTCAGGTTATTGTGCACATGAATTTATTGTTGACTGCAGAGAATTCAAGAAGACAGCTGGTGTGGAGGTGGTAGACATTGCTAAAAGACTTATGGACTATGGTAATAAACAAGCTTAAATAATTCACAATAGATTATCTTAAATTCAGATACTTAATTTTGTAAATGTTGACTTATTATAAACTTAAGTTGTTTTATTTAATTGATATTGCAAAAAAAAGCTTTAATACATTGCAGCTACTAAAATAATAAATTGCAAAGACGGGAAGATTTATGTTATTTATTTATGCATTATTTATTATAAATGTGCCATATGTCTCAATTCTTGATAGACTTGATAAAAAAGTTTTTCTCAATTTGCTAGAGGGTAGACACGGTAGTCAAAATGTCATGTTTCACATGTTAGAAAAATGTTTGGAAAAAGTAGTGGTTTATTTTCCAAAAAAAAAAAAATCAATATATATATATATATATATATATATATATATATATATATATATATATATATATATATATATATATATATATATATATATATTTTTTTTTTTTTTTTTTTTTTTATTGTATGTCTTATTTCATCAGATATTTGCTGTGTCATTTTTCTCAGGCTTCCACGCTCCCACCATGTCCTGGCCAGTGCCTGGAACACTCATGGTGGAACCCACAGAGTCTGAGAGCAAGGAAGAACTGGACAGATTCTGTGATGCCCTCATCTGTAAGATGTCCCTCATTTAATTTACTATATATAAGATGGTGCAGTTTTTCTTTGCCTTAGTAACAACATAAAAGTATTTCCAGAGTAGAGATGATGTGGTTACATTTGGCATGTAGTTATATTTATTTCCTAGTAATTACAATGTACATACACTGTAGTCTAGATTTTATATTAAAATAATGTAGCTTATAAATTATATTATCTTATGTGTTATAACTTATAGTACATTGATATTTATGTTTAATTCCAATAATTTTTATTCAACTTTTTCAGCAATAAAGCATGAAATTGATGACATAGAACAGGGTAAACTGGACCCCAAAATCAACCCTCTCAAGGTTAGTATTTATGTAACAACCTCATACTTCAAGAATGAGGATTACAGATTCTTTTATGATATGGATAACATGACTACAGTGTGTGTCATAATCATTTCATAATAATTTGATAATTAGGTGATTTTTTGGCATGTATGTATGCATTTATGTATGTATGTACTAGATGAACCCTAATATCAATTATCTTAATCTATTCTATGACATTTGTATAGATGTTTTTATCCAAGTGCTTATGTCTTTTGCTTATGTCATTTAACAAGGTAATAGCAAAACATGCATACATAAATTATTATCAAAAAGTAGAAATAATTTTTATTAATAAGTAGAAATGCACAGAACAATTATGTTTTTATTTTTTCAGATGGCCCCCCACTCAGCAGATGTGGTGTTAAGCAGTAACTGGGACAGGCCCTATAGCAGAGAAATGGCTGCTTATCCAGCAGTAAGTGATAACATTAATCAGTTATGCAAATAATTTAGGGAATGTAGATTATTTTAATTGGAAGTAGAAAGAAATCCAGATGTGATTAATACTTATAATTTAACATATATATAAGTTTTTCAGCAGTATCTGTACATAGTAGACAAATCTACAACCATGACAATTATTTAATTTTGATTTGATCATTACAACTGTCCAGGGTGTTAGTATGGTTAAAACACTTGTCTCTTATCATCTCTTACATCTGCTTGTTCTCATTCTCCAATTTACACTCCTAAATTATCACTCTCCTCATTCATGTTTACTTACTGGGCAGTATGTTCATTTCACACTTTTACTTATGCATGTGCTAACTTGTTTTCCATAGTCCACTTTGTATTATACTTATATACTAAGCCTTTGAATTTTCACTTTCTCTATTATTCTTTGGTGTAAATTGCGTTGTTTTTTACACAATGTCTGTATTAAATCATTTTATGTATTATAAATATTTTCCCTCTTTTATCTCCAGTAAGTACACACTGGCCAGGGAAATCAGAAATTGTAATATCTGTTCTATACAAAAAATGATAAAAAGATTTTTATACATAGCAAGATAAAGCTCTGAAGTATATTTCGGCTGATAATTTTGTCCAGAAAAAGTTACCCAGTGTAATGGAATGAAGAGTTTGTAATTACATTTTCTTTTGCAGAGTTTTGTGTGCCCAGACACCAAGATATGGCCCACTGTGAGTAGGATTGATGACAAGTATGGAGACCAGAACCTGTTTTGTACTTGCCTGCCCATGGAGGAATACAAGTCCCCTTTTGTGGCCAAAAATTAGGCACATATGTCTGGACATTATTGTTGATGACATTGCTTCATTCCATTGCATTACAACAGATTGTACAAATTCATTTCCTTCCCAGCTGCAATAAACATGTTTTTGGGGGTTTTGGAGATCTTAAATGCTAATTTCTGTGGATTTTAAATTTGGTGTGGCATTGCTTTATTACATTGAGGTTTTGCTCTTATTGAGTATTACCCTTTATTGTCACAGTATATTTCATAAGTTTTAACAGCATGTATACAGTATTTATGACGTGTGATAGAATCATTAGCTTTATATACATATATATTTATACACACACTCATTGGTGGTTAATTTTATAAGATAAGATATATACATTTAGACAAGGCAGCAAAGCTGTCAAATGTGGAAAATGAAACTAAGTTTGAAGACAATAAGTGCCATGGTTAACCAGCCATTGTGGTAACAGTGAAAAGTGAACGGCAGCACCGACACTCACAGGTGGTGTCTGTCCATAAAAAGAAGATAAAGATTGGAGTGGCCACATGCCATGACAGAAGTTTTTTGCGCATTGAAAAAATGTGTTCAATATATTTCCCTTTTATGATACTGTTCTCACAATGATCATAAATTAGAAATTATTTATTCAGAAGAGTTTTGCATTTAGTTTTGACTCTTTTTAGCATGAAATTGTGAATGCATGTTTTTGGTGCACTTACAACTTTTTGCTCATTATTCTCTTCAGTTATTTGTTCTACTAATTGTTTATTTAGTGCAATATTCTTCATACTTCTGCTACTTATTCATATTAAGATCATCCTCCTACAGTTTCTGTGATTAATACATACTTATTATATTAATATTAATGTATAATTTTTGTCAAGTATTTCCTGTTATTAATGTTGCCATATATCATGCCATAAACTTAACACTTTAAATACCCCTTTTATGGGAGTGTGTTAGTTATAATTGACTTTTTTCTCGTTTTCCTTAAAAATTTATATGTGTGTAAGAAATTCTGATATCGTAAACTTGGATATCATATCCATCAATCTAAGTGCTTATGAAACTAGCAGTTACTAATATTCATCAAAAAATAAGATGTATTCATTTTATTGAACCACTCAGTTATTTATATATCTGTTATATTCACATCAGCACTTAGACCCCATTTCCAGAGATTAGATCGATCTACTTTAGATCGACCTAACTCCCTGGTGGTTCATGCTAAATAGCTGTCAGCCGAGCGGACACGAAAGTTAATTACCCCCTTACAGCTTGTAGTAGGCGGGACGGACATTTAAGCCGGATTATCTGACAGTAATCTAGTGAGACTCCCTGCCGGGATAGGTCGATCTAAAAGCTCTGGGAATACAGCCTTAAGGTATAAGCAGCATGCCTCACTAAAAGCTTTAAAACTCCCACAATTGGATGTATCCTTATGAAAAAAAAAGGGGACGATATGCTTTATGATGTGATTCATATCATTTACTAGTGTCTCCTCAATTAAGGTTGTTTTTTTTTCTTCTATCTTTGCTGTATGAGAGCCTGGTCATAATTTACTACACATTGTACAGATAATACGTGTTTATTACAAACTGCCACAAAAAATCTCAGATTTGCTGTGTTCAAATTTCTTTGTAAACTATGACCAAATATAAATTATGGTATCCAACTGGTTTCATTGTTATTATTCACAAAAATGTGGAAATAAAACTATACAAAGCATATGATGGTTGTAGATCATAGAGTACAAATTTTAATGTGCTACATGTAAAAACTGTCTATTTTGATAACAAACACATTCACAGAGATATGTAACATGTACTTTTACAACCTGATTCAGCAGAGATAATGTTTTGATAGCCCTCATTAGATGATGGAGCAGATAACCTCATTCGAACTGGACTTGGCTTTGAGCTTTAAGGTAAAAGGAGCTGGTATATGTACCTAGATATAACAAAGCAGAAGTCGGATTACTTATGCTGTCTCTCATTCACAATCTCATTACAGAAGGATACCCAGAAAACACTTAAGAACTTGTAAAGATGGCTGGCAAATGTTATCAGGGAGCCTGATCACCCAACTGGTTAACGTCAGAAAGTCATTATTCAAATCATATTTTGTTAAATGCCTGTTCAGCATACAGATTTATTATTAGAAATTCAAGAGTCTAATCAGAAGACGGAACACAAATAATGAAGAGTAATCTGCAACACACTGATGGTTAACATGATTTCATAGTTACAGCGTTAGTATCAGAATAGGAGTTCTTGTAGACTGGTATGAAGTAAAGACAAATAATGCTTTGGTCATGAAAATTAATGCCTGACTTAAAAAAGGGATATTTTACATGCAATTTGTATCAAAGGCCACAGTTACTCCATAAGAAAATTTAAGGAGACTAAAAGCATACTTGCATACACTCAGCTTCATTAGTCTGCTAGAGAAATAATTTTCAAACTAATGGAATTACCTCAATCACAGACTATGATTTAACTTGTTTATAAAGGACATAAAATAATTTGTACAACTTTGGGAATTAACTCATTATGCTTGTGTTAAAAGCTTCAGGACATTCTTTCCATTTTATGCCACAATCAAAATGTCAACCATCCAAACCATAAAAACACCCAACATTATATAACACCAGTAGTCTCTGATTTACAATTTTTACAGACAATTACCTAAACCTCTGCAATATGCATAAGAAACTCTTAACTTTAACTAGGCAAGTTTTCCTTCTACTTTGTCATCTGCATGTAATACATACATACATACATACACATAACTATCTGAATGCTACTATTATTCCTTCACTGTATAAAAATCCACCATGTTTTGATAGTAATTATTGCACAATTGACAAATATCCACATTATTCCTCGTAGTTCATCCCTTTACATGAAAAGTTATTAAGACACTGATTAAAAGCCTCTCTGAAGTAGCTTACAGTACAACTGGAACATGAAAGCTAAATAAGCTTAATATCAATGGGTAACCTGGTACCAGTAAATGACATATCTAACATTTAGAAACGTTAACAGATGGTCACTAATATTTAAATCCACTGTCCATATTTTGGTCAAGTCACAGACCTCTATATCCAGCTAGCAGTATTACACTGGTCAGTTTAAATGATATCCAGTATTTATAACCAGGTCTGATGTGATTGATGTAGCTGTTCAGTCATAGTGTTGGTTAGTTTAATGGTCATTCACTCATCCCAAGGGCTCATATCTGTATCAATGGCCACACAGTTATATGATGCGTATCTCAGCTTCTCTTCGGCAATTTTTGCACTAAGGAGATAAATAAAGAATATTATCTTTAACTTTAGAAAAATTACAATTTAAACCTTTTAAAGAACCTAAGTACATTTCACAAGCTGCTGAATATTTACAGTAAAGTGATCAAACAATTTTTGCCTGAAATATTGTCTACTTTCAGTTCAAGTTTACTCTCTATTGCACAATTAAAATGCATGCACAAATCATCTAATGAGGAACCAGTCATTTTACCTGGAGTAATTTGGCAAATAGAGAGTATTTGAGCAAGTTGAAGATTCTGGCAAACCATCTACAGCTTCACTGTAAAAAATAACAAGTATTCAACATTGGGTAAAGAGAAGCAAAACAGACAAGTTGAATTTCTTAAAAATATTTAAACAGTAATAATGCATAGGCTTTACCATTCATTGTATATTTGGTTAAATCAAACACTATTCATAACATTTCACTGTGTCTTTCTTCTCAACTATTTTCCAACTATTCTTGTTCATTTTACAGACCCAATGCATGCAAAGCATTACAATAATCAATGCATTATTCTTTTTACCCTTTATCTGGGCAGACATAGAGTGGAGCTGGTAGCCTCCGCCTGCCTGTCACAAATCTCAGAAATCTACTTCTGTCTTCATTTGAGAAATTTCCCAGGGCTTCCCACAGATACTTCACTCTAGAGTCATTTTGTTCTAAATCTTCATAGTGAGCTGAAAACAGATGAAATGTCATAGATCACAGGTGTTCTGCTATTGAATCTGTCATCCAAATAATAGAAAATGTTCTGATAAGATGTTTTTCAGTAAAAACTTTCCCTGTATTTCAGGAAACAACTGAAGTATTTCAAACCACAAAAACGTATTCAAAGTGTTCTGCCTCCATTCCCATTAAGTCAAAGAAATTTAATATGAACATACAATAAAACACTCATTCACTCATACAAGTTTTGATTGCCTTTATTAAACACATACAGAAGTTGATATGACACAGTGACAGTTTTACTCACTAGTTTTCCTGAGAGCCTCCACAGTGATTTCAGGGTCTCCACATATCCGCTTTTCCAACTCTTGCCATGTTAACAGATCTAGCACAGCCTGGGGCACTACACTCAACAAACCTTCCCTCAGAGCTGCTACCTAAAACATACATTATATAACACAATAAAAGCTTTTTGTGTGTTTACCAAATTTCATTGAGGAATAACATTTACTACTTACTGAAAAGTACTCAATAAAGTGCAAATATCATAAAATGCAGATAACCTAAAGAAACATTTGTGATTACTTTGATGTTGTATCTAGTAATTCCACTGTAATAATAAGATGATCCAAACAGTCAACTTTATAAGATTTAAATACTTATTCAATACAACAATTTCTGTTTTGATTTTTCACGTGCTGTGCTCTGCTGCTGTTGTCAAATTATCTCATTCCACAAACAAAACTATTTCTTTGTACTGCACAACACTATAACTGACTCCTGTATAAACAACTGGTTTTCTGACTGCCCTTTTGTTGACCTATTTTTACCTGCCCAGATGGCAGCACTGAGCACCTGGCATGGTGACCTTGACCTATTCCCACCTGTGAAATGGAGGTGTATGCATCATGATGGTACACATAGGCAGTGATGGCATGATTAGGGCTGCACACCTGTTGTTACTAGGTATGATTGTATACTTAAAAGCAGGCATGGGCATAATATGGCATAGAATGTTTTCCACAATGAACATTAGATAATCTGATCTATTCTACACCTTTCAAGTCTGCCTTGTTTCTGGGTCTTATATGCAGTTCCTCATTTAAATGATGCTACTATAATGAAAGCAAGTTACATGCCTAATCTATAATTTTGTGTCTATGTTAGCCTTTTCTGGTCAATCACATGTAAAAAAGAGCTGCAGCTTTTTAAAGTATATATGATATGAGAGCACAATTTAAATAAAACACCATTCATTCCTTCCCCCTTTTATTACATGTGTATGGCCTTTGAAAATTACCATGCCTTTCTGAATACCAATTTCTTTTTAATGGTCATACACATCATTCGATGGTCTAAGGAAATGTTATTTTGTTTATTTATTTATTTTTTTTTTTTTGGGGGGGGGGGGGAGGAACTACAGTTATTTTAGAAATGTTTATGTAGTAAAGGATAATCAAACGTATAACCTTAAAATAAATTATCTTTCAATTATCTTTAAACCATTTCATTTAAACTGCCCACTAGGCATGTACATCCCTGGCTAGAAAATGTTTCTTGGAAATAATCACCATGATAAAAAGCCTTATGCGAACAAATAATTATCGATTCACTTTTTTTTTTTGTCTCTCAGCTGTCAGTGTGATCTCAGTGGAAGACAACGACATGGAAAAAGGGACAAACACACACATAAAACCAGTTCCAAGACCAAAAGACTCTCCCATACCTGGAAGGTTCTGGGATGCACCAAGAAACTGTAACCCTCATCCCTATACCTTCACCAGGAATACAGATATATGTTCCAGGTACAGAGATATAGTTCTCCTCATAGCAGTCAAGACACATTTTCCACATATAGACACAAGAACTGTGATCAGGAAAACCTGGGGTGCTAAGGGTTTAAACTCTAATTTCAATGTAGTGGTGGTCTTCTTTTTTGCCACACCTAAAAATGTTCACACTCAAAGAGCCATAGAGAGGGAGCATCGTAAATACAAGGACATTGCGCAAGAAGATTTTGTTGAAGACTTTCGCAATCTCACCACTAAAGTGATGGGGATTTTCAAATGGGCACAGACCTACTGCAGTAATGCGCAGAATGTCATGGTCACTGATGACCAAATAGTGATAGACATGTACAAGCTGGTTCCGTATGTTATAGAGCATTCTGGACCTGGCATGCAGCATTTCAAGCTCTGCTACCTCTATCCCTGCTGTACTAGGGTGCACAGATCACGGCAAACAAAGTATGGTTTAACTAAGGAGGAATACAAGAGCAATGCATTCCCATCGTACTGTTCAGGGACTGCATATATTGTCAGCCTGTCAACAGCCAAAGCCTTGTTTTCTATGTCACTACAGACACCTTATTTATTCATGGATGATGTCTATGTTGGCATATTGGCAGCTAAGCTCAATTTTACCTTTTTAGATAGTTATAAAGCTTTTGCTGGCATTGGAAATACCCCCTCTTTAATGAAAAACTTTATGGATTCAAAGTATTTGACTAGTCCCATAATGATAGGAATTACAGATTTTGACTACAGAGGAAAGGAAAACTACATAATGAAGCAAGTGTGGTCTCACATACAAACTAGTCATAGTAAAGAAGATGAAATAGAGAAGAATGTGGTTGTTATATATGAAAAAGATGATGGTGGAAAAGACATGGCTTCTTGGTCAGAGTTGAGCTTTCTAAACTTTCTTGAACTGGGTCTGATAGCCTGTGTATTAGTTATTATTTTTGCTGTCACACTGAACAGAAAATCAAAGAAATCAGCTAATAAATTAGTTTGAGCCATTTTTTATTTCTATAATTATATGTTGTTTTCACATATCCATCTGCTGTTTTGAGTTAATTGCTCAACATTTCAAAAGGCCAGAAATTCCAACATTTTCTCAAACAAAATTTATATATTAAATCATTTTTCATTTTATTTCATTTCATTTTCATTTCATTTTATTCTTTGAGTTAAATCACATTTTGAACTTGACTGCATTCCCACATACTAAAAAAAAGCAAAGCACAACTGAGAAACATTTGCTATGTTCATACTTGTTCAGCCATACCCCCCCCCCAAAAAAAAAAAGAAAAAAGAAAAAAAAGCTGGCTTTCAACAGCTTCTGTCACAGCCTAGCATAATAATAGACAACTTCCACAGTAGACTATACAAATATCTATTACCTACCAAAGTTCACATTAGCCTTTTCTTCTTTCTAAAAAAATATATATATTTGTATTCTTTGACATTTTAACACAGACTTAGTAAAAGTCAGTGATTTGGCTTAAGTAGAGTTATTCCAGCAGGTGTCAACTTCTTATCTACAAAACAAATCCATGGAATTGGACAGAAAAAGAAATAACTCAATGTCGTGTTGACTTACCTGTTCTTCACATTCATTCATCCTGGCTTCTTGCACCAGTTTAATGTACTCCACTCTGTCTTCATATTGCACTGCAGAGTCAGAATCGGCACTTTTTAAAGGTAGTGGTGTCCCATCACTAAGCACTGTGGTCCATGTCCTGTCTTCACCAAAGTGAGCCTCAAACGTCTCCTGGTCCAGTGTCTCCATTGTCTCTAATACACGGACCTTGAACACAAATAACCTTTAACTTATCAAAATAGAATAGTTTTGATGTCCTTAGTGTCAAAAATTACAGGCAGTCTTGATTGCTCTAATCAAAACATTTCTCAAAATAAGATGTCAAAATGAAAAGGTAAATAATTTAACATAGATTTTTAGCAGAATTGTATATTAAATTATTAAATTCAAAATCATTATGAGCAAATCTCATTTGCTTTAGCGCAAATCTTTTTTCAAAATAGCTTAGTCTCAATTTCAAAAATTTACTAGTTTTTCTAGCAAAAATACTGCATGTGGAAGTTTTGCTCTACATGCCATATACCTCACCTCGGCAGCATCCACAGTTACATAGTCTCTGGACCAGTGGACAGTCTCACCAGATAACTTTTTCCAGATAAACTGAGGCAAGGAGAGCACCTGGCAAAGAATTCAATACATATTTCTCAACAAAAGTGGTAAAATTTCATACATATTTTAGTTACTTTGTACATGTACCTATTGCTGGCAAAATTACTCTCTTATTAATGCTTTTTGTTCTTGACTATCACAAAAGTTTTCTTACAAACACTTTCAAATAAGGTGCTCCCATTTTCCTTTTTTGTCAACTTACCAAAGATTCCTTCCCTCTGAGACAAGCTCCCATAATCTTCCCTATCCAGCGATACTTAGCCAACTCCTGACAGGAGGGATTGGGAATATACACATCACGATTTACATTCAAGTCATCTTGGGCCTAAAAAGGTTTAAGAAGAAGTGATCAGTTGGGCTTTCCTCCTATTTTAATCTTATGTTGATCAAAGTATGTGTAATGTTTGTTTTGAAATCTGTTAAAAATCCCATTACAAAAAAAAAATCATTGAATAAAAAAAGGCTAATTTTATACAACTACTTCTGCTAAGTAAAAACAACATTTTTAAAATACAAGGCTACATTTTGACATTACTGCTTCAAATGTTGCCTCAAATAAGTCCACTTACCTGATTTGGTGATCTAATAAAAAATGGCAAAGGAACGGGGACGTCACTGGCACTAGGACATAACTCATCTGACATGTCAGACAGGCTGTCTCTGAACCCTCCCCCTTGATCTATTATACCTTCTGACAGGAACTTACACTCCCACCACTGGTCATTGCGACTTGGCCACCTAGGTCAGAAATTTAATGGTGGTCAAACAAAAACATAAGTGAGCTTAATATAATCTTTATTCATTTCTTAAATCTTTTAATTCGTTCATTTAGCCATTTATTCATTATTTTATTTATGCACCCATGTTTTAGCAAAAATCATCACTTGAAATCTCCCAAAATTCATGTCATGCCTCGGGGACGGATCCAGAGATATATTCTGACAGTTTTCCAAATTATCTTTATTGATCCATCCTCCATTTTTGACCGTCTTCCAACAGAAAAAATTAGATACCTGTCAATGTAAATTTTAAAATCCGGAAGACCCAGAAGACGGCCTTAATTTGCTCCTGCGCCTGTTAGTTTTTCTTTGACAATGCATGGGATAAATTTTATTCACATATATAATTTCTATTAAAGGCTTGTTACAGTTTTCAGTTTGAAATACCAAGTAACTAGAGTTTTCATTATAACATAAAAAACGTAAGATGCAAGAAAATCCACACTGTATCATCTGTCTGGGATATAATATAACATGAAAATTTCAACTATCCATATTAAAAAAAAACTGGTTTGCATTACCTGTAGTCCAGCTGTTTATCATATCTGTCCCTGGGTTTAAGGCCTTCGTAAATTTGGTAAAACACAGAGTTTTTGTACTCAGGATCTAAAGAAGGGTCTTGGCGATGTTCCATTGCAGCTCGTCGATTTATGTACAGTTTTGGCATATTGGAAGGAACCCTAGTATGACCAAATAATTGATACAAATGTTAAAATTTTTAAATAATATAAAAAATAAAAATAAAATAAAATATATTATGCACATAGAGCAGTATTTATCATATATAGCAAATGAAACTTTCCTTTTTTGAGTTGGAAGCATGGTAGGGTAAAGTTCTACTCCACACTTCTTTCAAAATGTTCAAATGTCATAATATGGCATCCTGCTCATCTTATTTTCCCAAAGTCAAAAATTGACCCAAATAGTGTCAAATGTAAATTCAGTATTTAATTTGTAGACAAATGATAGATACTTAATAATTTTCTCTCATTTTTATCAGTGTTTAAGTCTATACAGTGTTATTTGACTCACCCCGTCTCCGATTCTCTAAGGAAGGTTTCTATTAATCCTAATCTCTTCTTGGATAAAGGTAAAAGCTGCCGCACAACCTTCCAGATGAAGATATCAAAGATAGTAAATTTCAATATGATAAACTAGTAATAGCATTTCTGATAATATAGCATCTTTTTTTACTGTCACAACATAATAAGTCATAGTCTTATATTATATACTCGCAGTAGATACAATTCAGCATGTTTCTGTATGTTATCAATGTGAAAGTTATATACCTCAAGAGAGCTAAAAGAGCCTGCAGAGTACTCCCAGGCTGGAAGGATAAAAGGCAAGGTGCTGTCTACTATTGTGATAAACCTAGAACAAATGTAACAAAAATTATTGCAACATATAATTAAATGTGAAGATCAGAAATCTGATCAAAGATGTATCAATTTACTATAAAAGGCTTTAAGGTATTAAAGGACAAGTTCTAAGGATAATTTGGATCAGCAGAGATATATGTCAAAATAAAGTATTCTGATTAGATAAAATATCAAAGTATCAAAATTCAAGATGACCCCAAAGGGTCAGAATGATCAGAAATGGCTATTAATGAATTTCTATTTAATTCAAATAAAAAAATGACTTAGGATTTGCTTTCTGATACAATGTTTTGAAGGAAAAGAAATGAGTAAAGTTAAAATAGGGCACTAAGGGAACAATGTCCAAAACGCAAATCATAATTCACATAATGGAATAAAAAATGAACAGAATTTGCCCCTAGACCCTTTGAAATAAGAATTTTGTGCCAAGCATTTTCTCCTTAATATAAATACTAGTTTATTTTGATAATTATATCAATTGGACTATTGCCCCATAAATATTATTTTGACACAAACTTGAACTTGAACAATTTGTGCCAAATAGTGCAAAGCATGATCATCATGATGCTTATGTCATGAAAACATTTTGAATCTCTCCCCCCCCCCTCCCACCAGCTCCCCCACGAAAAAAAAAATTAATAAATACAAAAGAAAGGAAAAAAAAAATTACCTCTGAAGACCAATTGCCCTCCTATACAACAAATCTGCAGCTACATTTTCCAGTTTAGGATATCTCACCAGATCCTGTGAAGAAAACAAGTCCTTGCTGAGTCCCAGGTCCCTCTCTTTGCTAGACTTGATCTTTATGCCATGAATTCTTGTATCTATGCCATCATCTGGAATAAAAGAAGTCCAAGGACAAAACCAATAGCAATGAACTGACATAGTCACAGTGTTAAGTGTTCTTCTATTTGCTTGAGAGCATCACTGGTGACAATTCTGGCGCATTTCGGTCTGTTTATTCCTTTATCCTGATCGCGTTTTTCTATATGTTTTTCTTTACATAAGATAACAGATCATATTCACCTTTGCATTCCTTTATCCTGATCTCGATGATGGGATAATGCTCCTGCATATTTTCTAAAACACACACATCACTCATATCATTCATATTCCTGCAAGAAAAGACAGGCACAATAAGTTTAAATCAGTAATTTTATATCCTCAAACCAAAAGCTGCACTGTAGTGATTACTAGTATACTAGTAAAAAAGTAATTTAACATACTTGAAAGTGGCATTGCTATATACAGTGTTTAGGTTTTTTTTAAATTTTACTTGCTTTCCTCCCTTCTTAATTCAAATCTTACTGTCTGATTCAGTACAGTAAGGTAATTGGTTATCATCACACTTACTGATCCAGGTGTATATCTTCAAGTTTACTAAGATTGTCCCCTTCTCCTCCCATCACTATGATATGGTAGGGCATATAGTTATCATCTCTGCCATCAACAGTTAATAAAAGTTTTCTGAAATAAAGAAAAAATTAAATAAACAAATAGATAAACAAACAAACAAACCTCAGGACTCTCTAAAGACAAAACTAATCTTTATTTGAAGAAACCACGAGAAATATGTCTCTATTTTGTACATGTAAATAACTCCTATTTAAATCTTTTCAAAGGTTTCACTAATACGATTGAAAAGGAAACTAACTTAATCACAGTTCCTTTTTTCATTTTAAGTCGTATCCAATGCTGCCCTTGGTTACCATCACTCTCCCAAAATGTGTCTGAATCTCCATCGGTTAAATTATTGCAGCCATCATCATCCTAAGAAGGGAAATCAATAGTATGATCAATAACATAATATTTAGAGAATTAAATATATATACGAAGTAACACAGTCATAAAATAAACTTCACTAACTCAGATTCTTTGTGAATCAATCCTACAGCATGGACCGAGAAATTACTTGTGGTAAAATTTTTCATAAAGATTCTTAATTACTATACAGTGTGCCAGGTTTAATCACAGACTATATACCATTCAAATATCATCAATTGACTCATAACAAATTTGAGAAATTGTATCTTGGCAGTGCTTTCCTAAACTATCAGCATCCAGTAACTTACACAGAAAGAAGAGACTTCAATGGATTCTACATAATTCCGTACACTGCCCAAGTGGTCATTATCAGGTTCAGCGTGTTCTGTTAAAAATTTCACTAACTCTTCATCATAGTCTATAGACCAATTTGGGGGAATTGTTTGTAGTCTTTTAACAGCCTCCATATCTGGAGGTGCAACTTCTGTGACACGGCCACACCTCAAAGAATAACTGTCTTCTACTACATCTTCCCACCTAAAATCAACAAAAAGAGATTAATAATACTGTGTATATATACAGAAATTTTGTTAATAGAATAGCAAATAAAAATATAAATGATATTTGGGATTGAAAATCTAAATCAACTAGAATGCTGGTAAAAACTAATTTTTTTACAATTAATTTTGCATCAAAAAAGTCAATTTAGATACATTAATTAAAATAATAATTATGTTTTTAATTATGATGGTCTTTCAAATAAAGTTAAATGTGATATCCTTTAGTTCTTAAATATTGATCCCCGAAAACATGGGACCTATCAATGCTACTATACTTTCAAGTATTCCACAGTCATCTTACCTGTCTATAACTTTTGGCTTGCATCCAAATATTAACTCTTTTGGTGTTGGCTTTGTGTATTCCTGTTCCACTTGTATAAGTGAAGGTTCCTCTTCATTTGAACTGGCATTATTAAATAGCAAGGCCCATGCTTCCTTTTCTAATGTCTCTCTTTTATCTCTGGATTTTTTACTGTAATACTGTAGTTAAAATAAACAAAATGCACACTCAACATTACAGACATACTTTCAAGAAGTGACAAATATGTATTTAAAAAATAGCACAGTTTTCATTTTGATACTGTTTTTGCTATAGATGTTTTTTTCTACCAAACTAAGACACTCCTAAATGCCACCAGATCTAGCACGAAGTTTTATCCTCTAACTGACAGTCATTTTAGTTATGTGCACTTACATGTATATCTTACATACATTAGCACATAAGCACTAAACAGAAACAGTAAATAAGAGTGCTAACATTAGAAATTTCATCCTAAATGTCATCCTCCTGTATAAGCAAGACAGAAAACCCTTACATTGGATTATGCCTGTGCACGCGAGTGTGGGGAACACAGGCAAAGCATGGCATTTCTTACAGTGTCTTGTTTATAAAAATCAAAGAACATTTTTCCACAGCACAATACTACAAGTGAACTTCTTAAATATCAGATTTGTAACATTACATGTAATGTATCATGAGTACGCTTTCAAATACAAGCCTAAAAGTAATATCTGTTATGGCAGCAGTAAATAATATTTATGTAACAGGAACAGATCAACATATGATAAACCAAAGAGTGATGAGTCATTGGAAATATATGTGGTCTGCACTGAAAAGAAACCACCGTGGCCTACAGTACTGCATGCAACATGAATTATTTTGCCCTATTTGAATCTATATCTCTCGGAATTAATTTGCACCATCATTTCTCACCAATAACAAACCTCAATTATCTTTATCCACTGTCCTTCTGAATTACAAAATTCTTCTCCAGAACCAACAATTCTAGTGTCACTTTCACACAAAATTTCTGTCACTTTGCCACTTTGCTTGCTTGGTTTTTCGAAGGCATATACTTTAAAACTGCCGGTTGCCTTAAATTCTATACGAGCTGGTACATAGCACAGAGACTCTGGAAGCCGTCTTTTTTCTTTAAAGCACAAAATACATTGCTGTAAACATCGAATCCTTCCCAGTCGACGACGCGGAAGATCCAAACTCATCTTGGCACTTGTCTTTAATACAAAGCTAGTGCTAATAACGTACTGTAGTTTTTATTTAAAATACTATGGTTTATTTCCAAGTTGAATATGTCATTTTATATGTTTATTCAAAATACACTAGATTTAAATTTAAAATAGTAAAATATACAATACTGTCAACGTGTTTTCATGGGACTAAAGAATTAATTTTTTTCAAAAATGGATTTATAGCTCTGTTTAAGAATGGCGACTGCTATGGAGCATGACACCCTAGAAAGCAGTGTGCAAAATATCCTTGAACAGAAAACGCTGAGATGGATATTTGTCGGAGGAAAAGGTGGCGTGGGAAAGACAACATGCAGGTTGGTATTTGTTGTAGATACTGACTTTGTCAAAATGCCCAGTAAGATAGTATGCAATGGATGTGTTTAGATGAATGACGTGTTACTCTTGACTGTTTTAGTGCCCTTTGCTTTGGTTTGGTTTGGTCACAATGCTCAGCTGTCACCTTGATTGGTAAATTAAACCACAGAAATGACATCGGAACACCATACTAGTTTATCAAAACTCAAATAAAAACAATCAAACTCAGTGAAGTATTTTAAACTAATTTCATAATATCGCCACATACCCCCATAGAGGGTCCGTGTATTGGGGGGGGGGGGAGTACAATACAATACAATATACTTAAGTTAAACTGAGTAGTTGTTGACTGACAGAACAAATTAAATAATGATACAATGTTTACTACTACTGAAGTGTCTACTACTTCTACTTTTTAACTACTGCTAGTGATTAAAGCATAACAGTTATGTATATATGTATGTACTTTTGTTTTACCATATTTATTTCCAAAATGAAAATCAGGGAAACTTTTTCCATTTTAAATTGATAAAATGAACATTTAAAAAATTCTTTCATTTTTTCACAGAGGGAGAAAATAACGTGTATTCTAATATATTTTACCCCCTTGATATTGAAAAATAGTGGATATTTCCATTTCCTATCATCGTCAGGATATCTGTCATTTTTTTTGTTTTTTTGTTTGTTTGTTTGTTTATCATAGTAAAATAGAAAAACAAACAATTATCTCATTTTTCTTTTTTTTTTTTTTTGTTAAAGATAAAGGAAATTTGAGATACACAGATTTTTCATTTTATTTTGACCATTTATGAAATGAAAAGGAAAAAAATGACAGTTTCATTCTCCCCCCCCCCCCCCATACACGGACCATAGAGACTGAAATAAAGTAAGCTAGTGAAGTTTTAGAACAGAATCGTGAAAAAATAAACTATAAGAATCCAAAGAACCAGACATCAGATACAACTCGAACATGGTACACCTACCTCTTCTTTTGTTTGTAAATCCGATGGGTGAAATTCTCAGAATTGGGCCAAAATGCCTCTTTTGTATGACCTCTACAACTCGTATACTCATACTGTAGTATAGACTTGTTTTAGTGGTGCTTTTTCTTTTGGATAAATTATTTTTTTGTTTTATTGGTGGTACTGAAGAATGATATATAATTGTGTTTGAGTCAGGGTTGTGCTTAAATCTAACTGAATTATTGTATTAGTAGAAGCAGTGAGAGTTTTAGTGCATCAGATGCTAGTTAGTTATTATTGATATTTCACCAAGAGTGAAATGAGAGTTTGCTGAGATCTGCATAATGAAATATGACTTATATTATTTCCCCTTTATGCCATTTATATACCATCCTTTGAGTTTAATAAGAGTATTTGATACAGACGATGAGCCCACTTAAACACGAAGTTTGTATTATCCAAATGTTGAAAAGTCTTCATAAAAGCCAAATTTTAATACAAAACATTTTTATTTTATGTAAAGAAATTTATTTTTCAGGTATTTTGAGGTATTGTGAGTCCAGACATCCACACTAAATTATAATTAATAGCAATCTTTTTATCGCCTGTATGAGTATTTATAGATATTTGGTATTTTTTAAGCTGTAGCCTTGCAGTACAGTTGTCCAAAATCAGAGAGAGTGTTCTAGTCATATCCACAGATCCAGCTCACAACATATCAGATGCTTTTGACCAGAAATTCTCTAAGGTGCCAACAAAAGTTAAAGGATTCACTAACCTGTTTGCTATGGTAAGTCTTTTCTCACAATAGTATTTTTCTAAAATAAGGTGTTTAATTGTCATCTTTTTTTTTTTAATGCAAGGAGGAAAGGGGTTTGAGGTGAATTAGAACTCACTTTCTTATTTGCTGTCAATGTGAATAGAAAATTTCAGTAAAGAAAGTTTGTCTTTTTTCATTGTTTGTAATAGATATTAGTGTAAATTAGACAGAATAGATGTTGATGATGATGTATACCATATTTTTATTACTTCTAAAGAAGAATGAGTTCAAGATTCAGATTTGAATTATCAGCTATGGAATCCATTGTCAGGATGACCATTCAGTTCAGACCAGGATGTTCAGCCACGGCCACTCTGTTGGAAAAAGAAGGATAATTCTAGCATTACGCGTAATCCTTTATATAAATCCTTTCTATAAGCTTATATACAAGAGCAGATATTGAAGTATCTCCAGATAAACAAAAAGAGGTGAAGATATGATCTGAAAATTTGGAAGCACCAAAGCCCAAAGCCAAATAAGTAGAAAATGTATTATATAGATATACATGTAAATGATATTCATTTTAAATTGCAGTTTTATGAAATGAAAAAAACATTGCTCGGAGCAGAATTCTTACCCGGTCACAGTGACAAAGTTTATCATTTTCACATTCCCCAGTTGCTCTGCTGTGGTATTTGTGTCGGCAAAAAGACTGACAGGCTTCATCAGGAGACATGCCACTGTAATACCGCAATGCCCAATAGCAATTGTTGGTGCAGCGGCACACTCCTCCAAGAACATACCCTGACATAAATTTCTTTCTGTTTCTAGTGATGCCATTGTAACAACGATCATGGCAGTCTTCATTGCTCTCCCCAGGATAGCCTAGAAATAAAAAGAAATCAAGCAGTACTTCTCATATTTGAGTCCTACAGTTATTATATTTGTGAGTCATGAAACCATGTGTCATTGATGAGAAAATTTTTATTAAAAAAATAGAAACTAAGGGACATGGTTTTCAGTATTGGGCTTTTTTAAATGTGTTGGTGATTTTTGTGATCTTCAGCTATAGTGTGAGAGAATTTCTTCCAGTTGTTTCCTATTTGAATCTGGTTAGGGTTTTTAGGTTGGTTGCAACATGATTTAGTCTTGACCATTTCCAACACTGTATACTAAGATGATGGGATGTGAAATGTAAGAATTTTTTTCAATGGTCCCTACAGTAGCCCAGTTTGATAACATGTCATGATTTCTTCTTACCTGCAGCATATCCCAGGATAGCTATCCCAAGTAACACAAAGACCAGGCTGATGTGCATCTTGGTATCACACGGTCTCAGCATATGTGGCACCAGTGTTTGTCTCTTCTTTTATACCAAGGAGCAGCCTTGAAAAAAGAAAAAAATCATGATCAGTCACTCTTTTCATTCATTTATGATGATGATGATCATAATCAAAATGACTAGTGCCAATCTTCCTGTTGTGCAGGAATAGTCCATTAATAGCTCTTAACATTAGTTTCACAGAAATCTGCCTTTTGCTCCTTGATTTATTTCATGATAATTAAGTTATGCTGATGCCATACATCACGTGAAATTTTTTTGTCCTGTTTTTGATCATGATCATTTCCAGAAAATGACATTCAGCTACTGTAGCTATCTTGCACTTGATGTTTATTACTTACTGCTCATTATCTATTTTTAAGAAATTGGTAATGTTGAAGCTGTAATCAGCCATAATATGATGCATAATTTCATATCTGTAAATGATGAAACTAGTCTGTTTAGTTATGACATAGAAGTAATTATGAGTAATTAAGCTTTCATTATGTGATTTCACTCTCAGTTATCTCATATGTATATTATGTAATGTATTAATGTATCAATTTTGGTTTTTATGAGGATATGACATCATCCATTGATGAGGAAAAAATGAAACATTGAAAATAAAATGTTGAAACTAATGATAACCAACCAGTAAGGTATAAGCTATTACCCCATAGAGTTTTTTTTCAGCTTTGCCCTTTTGCACCAGGAATAATGTGCATGTTTGTAGGTGCATGTTTTTAATAAAGACATTTAATTAATGATTAATTTTTACACATGCTTGGGAGGTTGCAAAAATAAAATTGTCAAATTGGAAGATGTTTACAGACTCCATTTCATTGATGATTTCATATTTTATTATTAATTTTTTTAGGAAATTGACCCAAATGTTGGTATGGCAGATTTACCAGATGACTACTTTGAAGGACAACAAGGTAATAAATTAGCAGATAACAAACACTAAATGGACAAATATATGTCTGAGAGATCAGGAACCAACATATTAGACCGATTTCTAGCTTACAAGAGCTTTGTTTTATCACGCTCTGTTTCGGACCCTTTAATTTGAGGATACTGTATGGGTGAACAAATTAAAATTATTGATGCGAGAAAAATGGAAGTTTATCAGAATAAATACTGTTGTGGAAAAGATAAACTTTTAGGCAATTTCATACAGTCTCTAAGAAAGATGTTATGGTGCAAAATATAAAATTTTAAGGTTTATTTGTTAACCTAAGTTTGAGAAAGAAAAAAAATCTTCAAAATGCTCTGTATGATCTGTAGTGATATAGCTGAACAGTTAGTCAGTTTGATTGTGCTATCATTGCAAAACTTCAGAGAAGGAAACAATCGTCCTTTGAAAGAAGACACTCAGAATTTTGACATATGTAGAGTGGTATTAAATAATGAAGACAATTCACACCCCCATCTGTATTTCTCACAATTCTGAAATAATGATTATTTATAACCTTGTCTTATGTAGCTTCACTCAGTGAGAGGAGTTTAATTTCAGATGTGTTGGCAGTTGGCAAAGGTGTCATTCAGGAGCTGTTAGGTGCTTTTCCTGGTATAGATGAAGCCATGAGCTATGCTGAAGTTATGAGGTAAGGCTACCTTTTCTGTAGTCAAGTTTTATCAATTGTCCATATTAACTATCTCAGATTTACGTGTTAAACTGATTTACTCAAACAACCCCAAAAAATAAATAGTCCCTGGCTATGACATTGGAGCTGATACCTTATTCTGCAAAAAAAAAATATACTTAATTGTGGACATTTGGTTGCTTTTATCAGTCTTTATGTTTAAATGTTGTTGAAGTTAAGTTTAACTTATCCATGTAATATTTGCTGTGTTCAATAGATATTTTACTAAAAAGAGATTAACTTATAAAAAATATATATATATATTACACTTTAGAGTTGGTACATTCTTTAAAAAGAGAAAAAGACAACTGCAGAACATACACAAACAATGATGACACTATAATGAAATGCTTTTCTTTCTGTGATTGTTTATTTATTTTTATTTATTTACTTATTTATTTATTTGTTTCAGGTTGGTTCAAAGTATGAATTTTTCTGTGGTGATATTTGATACGGCTCCTACAGGACACACACTGCGTCTGTTATCCTTTCCCTCTATGGTGGAGAAGGGGCTGGGAAAACTTCTTAAGATAAAAAGCCAGTTTGCACCCTTTATCTCACAGGTCTGTGAAAGTCCATGCTGCATTGTATCTCTGAATTTCTATTTTTTCATCATTAAAAGACTACAACATTCATGAAGTCATGGTCTAGAAATTTTTGACAAAGAAACGAGTGTTGTTGGTTCATGGTATGAGCTTATGTGAAGAAAGTATATGTTATGATTTACAAAGTTGAACAAGTTTGTTTTTAAGTTCTGACAAATGTGATAACTTTACCCTAAAAATGTATTCAAAATAGACTTAAAAGCAGTTTTGCTTACATCCATAACTTTCCAAGTACTTTGAAATATGGTCACTCATATAAACATCAACTGATTGCTTTTTATTTTGGAATGCAAATGATATGCAAAATTATGTGTACCGCATTTATTAGATCTCAGTTGCTTGTAAATTTATATGTTTTATGCTTCATAATTGCAAATATTATGTATAAACAGATGGCAGGTGTGATGGGCATGCAGGATATGAATGCAGAACAGATGACCACAAGACTAGAAGAGACACTACCCATCATAAAACAAGTTAATGAACAGTTTAGGAATCCAGTAAGTAGATTTTGAGCAGTGTTTGCAAACTCAGCACATGGTCACTTGTGCTACTCGTTCCACTTTCCAGTTCTGATTTTTTTTTTGTTTGTTATTCTGCTGTGAATAACTTGTTTAACAATAGATCTAAGAATTTTGAGCACTCCAAGGTTGCAATGGTAATCTTGTATAAGGAACCATGTTCACACTAGAATTCACTTGGATTGGATATTGACCATAATTGATTTAGTCACCCGACTTCCAGAAAGTTTATGTAAAACATATATGGTTAGTGGAAGTTGAAGTTTTCTCATAAATGTAAGAATTAAGTAAATGTCACTTTGTTGACAGATTATTTGATCCATATGATCCTGGATATATTTTATATGTAACTGTTTATGTTTCTTTCTTAATTTTTATTGTCTGTTTATTTATGATTGACTTTAAAAATCAAAGTTAATGCAACTAGATTTAATAAAGATGTAATTTATTTATAATTATATCTCATTTTTTTATATTGTAAACTTGTTTTGCCCCTTATGTTTCCCTCTCTCATAATCAAAATACTATCCATGACAAAAATGATTTCATTTTTTTTTTCTTTTTTAGGACCAAACTACATTTGTGTGTGTGTGTATAGCTGAATTCCTATCACTGTATGAAACAGAGAGGCTAGTTCAAGAACTTACTAAAATGAACATTGACACTCATAACATAGTTGTCAACCAGCTAATGTTCCTCCCCAAAAATGAAAAACCCTGCAAAATGTGTGCTGCCAGACATCGGATACAATCCAAGTATCTGGATCAGGTTGGTGAAAACTGTAGTAGAAAAGACACATTTCCATGTATTTTGTTTTCACAGTCATGTTTTAACTGTTAAAACAACATGATGACCATTACTTTCAAGTCGGCAAAATAATTCAGTAGATTTTTTTAATGTGATGAAAGCTTGCCTTAGGTTTTATGGTTTTTAATCACTATATGATGATACTAAAGGTAATGATACATCACACATCACACTTTATACATTTTAGATTGAAGACTTGTATGAGGACTTTAATGTTACCAAACTTCCATTACTGGAACATGAAGTGAGGGGTGCTGATGATATTCGCCAGTTTTCTGAACATCTAGTGAAACCATACAGTGTATGATAAGTGTGGAGTTAAATTGTGGTAAACCTCAACTACTAGTCATGGAAGTTGCAACTTGCAATCTTAGCTGTGCTTTGGACAAGCATGATTATTACAAAAGATAATTATTTAAAATGGAGAAAATAAAACCATCTCGGTGACACGCCATCATAACATGCACAAAAGAGAGCCATAAAGTGAAAAGGGAGAAATACAAACCAACTTCTGGTGATGATTTTGATGAAAATCAGTCAACTTGTGGCAATTCTGTATTAAGTGAGGTAATTTTAACTGATTTAACAATCGATGCCATAGCAATGCCTTAGGGATATTCAGGTTGGTGCACTATTTTCATGGTACACCCTGTAACATGAAAATCTGACTCCCATGAAAATCTGACTCCCCCAGTCAAAATGTCATAATGCCCCTGCCACACTCGAATGTTTTTGTCATGTCAAAAACTTTCGAAGTGCATTCCAAGAGGAAATTTATCGCAATATCCCTACAGTATTCCAACTACATTCAAGCTGCATTTGAGAGGTAATATACCTGGAATGTGCAAGAATCATTCCAGGCGGGTTCAATGTGCATTCTTAGTATTCCAGAGGCATTCTTACAAAGCAGTAATATTTTATGATAATTTGAAATTCCCTCCCGAATATGGAACGAATTTTTTAATTTAGTAATTGCGGCTTGATTCCTACTGATTTAGAATAAGTTTGACGGGGGCCTTAAGTCACTTGTCAGTTCGAATATTCCTCTAATGTGATCAGAATGTTGCGAATGCTGTCAGAATGCCGTGAGAATATTTGGAATGCAGTCATAGTGCAGTAAGAATACTGTTCAAATGCCATTCGATAAATTTCCACTTGGAATGCACTTCGAAAGTTTTTGACATGACAAAAACATTCAGGATGCCACAAGAATGGGTAAAAATATTTAGAATGCACTCGGAATTTTTAGAATGCTCTTCGAATATCCAGGAGCGCACAAAAAATTGTCTTTCCGACGGCATTCTTGCTCATTCTGCCTCTAGTGTGACGGGTGAAAAATGAAAATCTGACTCCCCCCATGAAATTTTGACTCCCCCTCACAAAACTTTATCAATCTTATTTTATTTGAGTATATAACTTTTATCTTGTAGTGTGCATAATGGAGGATACATTGGCACTTTTTGAAAATTTTCATGAGAAATTAAGAAAATCAAAAACATGTATTTTTCCACCCAGTAACTCCTATGAAAAGGCTATGGGAGTCCAAATCCTACGGGTAGTAAGATGAATGCAAAAATGATCAATTTTCACCCCCAAACTTTCAAATACTAACAAAATATATGTCACAATGCAAACCATGTGGAAAACAATGGTATGGTGACTAAATGTAAAATAGGGCCTTTTCTTCATGGGAGTCCAAATCCCATGGGTATGAATATAAAGATTTTTCAAGGTTTTTTTTTTTTTCATTTTTTGCACCCAATATTTTACCACCAACTTTCAAATATTTCCAATATATTCTTTATAAAGTATACTTAAGGGAAAGATGTTGAAATGATCACCAAATATCAAATAAACAGCTCTTTCATAGGGAAGGCATTGGGTGGTAAAATACACATTTTTAATTTTCTTATTTTCTCATCAAATTTTCCCCTGCAAACTAACAAAAAGTGCCAATGTATCCGCCATTATGCATACTACAATATTAAAGTCATATACTCAAATAAAATAACATTTATTCAATTTTGTGGGGGGAGTCAAAATTTCATGGGGGGGAGTCACATTTTCACTATGAAAATTTGACTGGGGAGTCACATTTTCACTATGAAAATCTGACTGGGGAGTTACATTTTGGGGGAGTCAGATTTTCATGGTACACCGGGAAAAGATGGCTTATCTAAAACAAAATATTTTTAAAAAAGCAGTTATCAAGGCATATATCTCCGAAAGGAACCAATGCCTCTTTATATACCTCTTTATATGTCTTTAATTTTGTAGAATTGTGACTGAATGAATCAAAGAATTTGCAATTTAATGGTCCATATTTTCCTTTCTAGGGAAGGTAGACAGGTGGCTTTGAAGTAACTAGATATGTTCTAACTTTTAAAATGTTTGTAAGTAAATAACAAGTTTAAGGCCATTTATGATTATGAAGTTTATGAAAAATATTGTCATCAAAGTCTGTAAAAGAAAGATTCATGTATGGGATCATTTAGTGTTAGTTGCATGCTCTGTAGATATAAAAGCAATTACAAATATGTGATGTAAAATATTTATTAAAGTACAATGTATTGTACATGTATTTGTAATAAAATACCTTTTGGATACATCCATTTCTCTGTCATCAAAGTCCTATATATATATATATATATATATATATATATATATATATATATATATATATATAACAAGCGTGAATGTGGAACAGAGTGCTCAACAGTACGGAGCATTTGTACACAATTAAAATTAATAAATAAATAAATAAACAAAAGACATACTATAACCCCGACTCCGAGTTTCACGGGCATACCCAGAAGGTATATTTGCTAATATAACCATTTTCAAATAAACCTCCTGACGATCAGGCATACCTTCTGGGTATGCCCGTGAAACTCGGAGTCGGGGTTATAGTATGTCTTTTGTTTATTTATTTATTAATTTTAATTGTGTGTGTGTGTGTGTGTGTGTGTGTATATATATATATATATATATATATATATATATATATATATATATATATAATAACAGTCAATTACAATGTAAACAAGCACCGCACACATTTTACAATGTTAGACAAATGTTTGACCTCATGATGGCCAGTAGTCATGTGATTGTTAATTTATATTTTATCCAATTATTAAACTCTAATTGACCAACAATCCTGCAATTGTACTCTATTTGTTTTTCACCATGACAAAATGAACTACCCCCTGTTGATAAAATGGAACTTTTAATGAACGAAAGTGAGTATAGATATACAGCATTCTTTCATGTTTTTTTATACACTTATGCAGGTAACCTAAATTGTTGTAAACTATATATATATAAAGAAAGATAAAAATGTAAATTGATAATGTTTTGCTCCTTTAGGGCTGGTAGTGTGTTCAACATTTTATTGTTCAGTCTGATGCCCAGCTGTTCCTCAAGTTGGTCCAATAATTGTAATTTAAAACTAGCTGTTACTGTGAACTTAAAAATCGCTAATGGGTAAAAAAAGTTAAAAATAAAGAAATAATTCAAGAAAAAAAAACAATTCAATCAGGCAGGTTTTTATTCCCCATAGCTTTATTTTCTCGTAAGTTTGAGAGTAGTAGGCTAATAATACACAGCCGGATGATGGTACTTAAACGTTAACGAGGTTAGTGCACTGTGACGCTTACGGCAGTGATGGTCAAATGTCCGGATACATAGTCCATAAATGCCCACATGCATTATATATGTATTCGAACCGGACTTCAGAGACCTGGCAATGCACTTGAATGGAGAACGGTTCAAATCAGTGCGACCAGGGGGATTTATGTAACACAAAGACATTATAAAAACCCGAACAACGACAACAGGCCAATCCTGTTTCTTTAATGAACTGCAGTAGTTTAATTCACCTTAAACCATTGACCGAATTATTAATGAATATTTTTTGCTAGCTCACCGTGAATTGGCATTATTTGTATTGCATCAGCTCACAAGAGAGACTTAACACGTATGCTTAAAGGCAGGACAATTGACAAGGCCGACGCAGGTAAGTAATAGCACGTTATGATAAAGAACTAATATAAATGCAACTGTTAAGAAAGTCTCTTGATTGTATGAATCTATATTTGCCAAGTTTTCTTATGTCAGCACACAATCTTGCTAATGTCCTTACACTAAAATATCAGATACGGAAATTTTAAATTGGGGTAACTACGGCGTACAGGTAGACCGCAGATGACAACCGAGATATCGTTGTTAAATTAAACATTAAACAGTACAAAAACACTAACCCTTAATGCGTTTTATACATGTACATGCAGGTTAAACAAGTACAAGTCTAGCGACATATATATATGTGTGTGTGTGTGTGTGTGTGTGTGTATTCATACAGTCTTTTTTGTCGCTAACACACGCGATAAGGGTTATCTACATATTTTATAATTAGCAATGTACATACATGTATATGCATTACACAGTTTAATGGAAATTTGTCGAATGTCGGAATATACGGAGATTTTATATTAGGCCTGATTGTTTATCCTATTCCAAGTTGTCAAAACGCTTGTGATATCCAACATAGAAATGCCCATTTTCTCATTGAATAAATCATGTATCTATCAGTTTTATTATCATTATTATTTTTATTGCTGTTGTTGTTTGTTTGTTTGTTTGTTTGTTTGTTTGTTTGTTTTGTAAGGCGTTTTCTTCTTATCTTATTTCTGAATTATAAATCATTTATAATGTCTATTTTTCAAATACCAGTAGCTGGACATTTCTCAGTGTTGGCCAAGTGTATATAACTAAAATGGAGTCGAACAGCAGCGAAGCACAGCTTATGTCAATGCAGAGCTCACCACACGATTCCACCCTCTCTTTTGGAGAAGACAGACAGGTTCATAGTCGAACACCTGAAGACTGGAGGAAAAAAGTTAAAAAGGGGGTCAAGAAGAACCTCTTGTTAATTTTAACCCTAATAGCGATTGTCATAGGAGCGGTCCTAGGTTTTACGGTGCGTCTGTTACAGCCGTCAAAGGATGCCCTGATGTGGTTAGGTAATGTGAACGGGTGCTTCTTCAACAAGATTTTTGCCGTAGCAGGCAGGATAAAAAGAATATTTCATATAAGATGTCTAGGAAATGATAAAAGCAAAAGGCTGCCGAAATAATAGGAAACAATATATGTGTAAAGATAGATCTTGTGATACTAGCGTTATTATTATAATTATAATAATAATAATAATAATAATAATAATAATAATTATTATTATTATTATTATTATTATTATTATTGCTTGTGCCTTGTCCCAACATATTAATTCTAACAAAAAAGTCTAACAGTGCCTTATATACATTCCTAGTTAAGTACGTCAGCACTTTCCCATAAATCTTTGCGTACATTTTTCAATAATAATTACACATAATTTGGATTGCAAATTTCAATAAAAAGGATTATTTTTATGCAGTTTAGGTTTTAAAGAATATCCTTGCAAATCTTATCAATGACATCAGAAACTTTCGTCGGTATGCCTGGGAGTACTGACACTAACAATAAGGAGGACTGTGATTCTAGAAAATATAGAGAGTAAACCTATTTTTTAATTAGCGAACTGCTTCTCTTCCAGGAATGCCTGGTGATGTATTTCTACGAATGTTGAAGATGATGATACTTCCTCTCATTGTCTCTAACGTAATAACTGGTAAGACATAATGCCATATCGACCTTTTTTTATTCTGTGCTTCTGATGTAACCGTCATTCTTTAAAGGATGAGCATCGTTTGCCCGTTCACCCCTGTTCCCGAAAGTGGAAAAAACTGCCGACTCACGCCTCGGAAGTCCTACTGTCAAAGGCATGAGCATGTGCGCACTCACAAAATAAGAGTCAGAGAAACAAATAATGTTTGCTTTTAAAGATTGTCAAAAATTTCGTACACATATGATATCGTTGATTTGACTACACCAATGCACAACAGCCATGGTGGGACATTTTGTGAAATGTGAAACCTTCTTACATTGCGTGACAAGTCTAAAAAAAGAAGCCAACGATGATGTTTATGTATCACTAATATATTGTTGTGCATGATAGGCATGCAGGATCAGAATGTCGAACAGATGATCACACGATAAGAGGGAACGCTATATTGATCCAATAAGTAGATTGTTTAAAATTGCGTTTGATCAAGGAGTTATAACAGATCTGTTATAACTCCTTGGTTTGATCGACTTTAAGAGGAAAGTCTGTCAATGAGAGACGTCTTTCAAATTAATCACTCGCTGATTATGTTTGGTGCGGAGAGGGCTGTCTAAGAACAAAGGTGCTTTATCCGTTTGGATAAATGGCAATGAACGAAGATATTTGTCTTTGTTACAGATGCGTTTTTAAACGGATTACTTGACCCCTTGACCCATGACGTAAATAATGAAAACAGGACAAAAAAGACACCAGACGACCAATGATTTTACTACAGACGTGTGCTGTCATGGAGGACCGGGAGATGTTGGGGGAGGGGGGGGAGGCGAACTTGAGACACCTCTTGGCAAAGAACAACAAAAATACTGTGTCTGTAGCCCGTGAATCTGATTTTGTCTTTCCAACTGCCAATTTGCAGTCAGTGTTTTTTTTCTATAAATAAATCTTAAATTTTTGCTTTTTAGGAACTGCTTCATTAAGTCTCAAAACCAATGGGAAGATGAGCATGATTGCTTTGGTATATATTGTGCTCACTAACATCATTGGTTGTGTATTAGCAGTGGTATTGACTCTACTTATTCAACCAGGTATGCTGAACTTTCTCTCAAAGACATTGCTCAAGAGTTAAGATACAAAAAAGAAATTTGGTTTGCTTTTCCATTTGTATCAATATCAGTCACCCTGAGTTTATGAGTACTGGCGTTAACTCTCGTAAGTGGCGTTCTGCCCCCTGGTTAAAGAGGAAGCCCCAGGTTTTATTCCAGTATTTGAATGACATGCAGAAAAAGTAATAGATCTAGTTTTTAAACTTTGCGTTGACAACGGTTAGTTCTGCAAGCAGTTGTAGAGTAAACATAAACATTTTTATTACCATGTATATGTCAAGACAACAAGTATGTACCGGATACGCAGGGTACCTCCCATGTCAGTGATTCATAAACAAATCAATCGAAACGTTGCTCTTTCGTTTCAGGTAACTCTCCAAACCAAGATGGGGGGTCATCTGGCCTTGAGCAGACCCTGCAGACGCAGGACATCTTTGCTGATTTGATCAGGAATATATTCCCCGACAATATCATTCGGGCGTGCAGTAAACAGGTGAAGTGCTAGCTTTTTTTACATGTTAAATCTGTACAACATTTTAATTTTTCTTTTAATGATGAAAGATAAATAGAGATTCGTCTATTTTTATGATTTTGAATGTGCGGTACCATTTGGTTTGTGACCTTAGCATAAGCTCCGACTATTATGGGAATGGAGATTGCATAAGGCATACGGGAGGTAGATTGTTAGCCCACTAGTTATTACCTGTATTAGGAAAATCTGGTTCAGTTTGTATTTGTATAAGAATTAGTTTGATGCTGTAGATAGATTCTTATCAACTTTCATGCTTACCTGGTTCTTGTATTTCTAGGTCCAGACGTATTATGGCGAAACCTTGAAAATCGCACAAGTAAACACTACAGAAGGTTTAGTAAATAAAACCGTAAAAGAAGTAAAAAAATCCGTTGGATATAGTGACGGGTCAAACATTCTTGGTAGGTGGTTTCAAGGTTGCTTTTGTTAAGCTTTATTTATTTAAAAAAAGGATTTGAATAGTTTGTAATTTCTGTGCATGCTTATTTGCGTGGTCTTGCATACATATATTTTTACCTCCGCCAAGGAGGTTGTTTTCACCCCTGTCTTTCTGTTTGTCTGTTTGTCATCAACATAACTCAAAAAGTTATGGACCGATTTTGATGAAATTATTAGGGTAGGTCAGAAATGGGTTAACTTAGAAGTGATTAGTTTTTGGTGGTGATCCGGATCAATAATCAATCAACAATCAATAATAATCAAAAATTGCTGCCTTGGCGGAGGTCTGCGCTCTCGGAGTGCTTTTCTAGTTAATTTTTATCTCTTTGCCAGGAATCATAGTGTGTTCAATGATATTTGGAATAGCAACAAGCGCCAACAAAGAAAAGGGCAGGCCCTTTTTGAAGTTCTTTTCATCCACAAGCGAAATAGTGATCACAATATTGCGATGGTTTCTTTGGTAAGAGGCATTATCAGATTAAACTGAACAGCCATTAAAAAAGAACGACAAAAATGTATAAGAAAATTTAGGTTGTGAGGGAGTAATTGAAGGAAGCGGCGCTGTGAAAAGTTGTCAGTTTAAGAATTGTTTTTAGTGCTCGAATAAGATTGAAGCACTTTCAGAGGGCAGAAGCAGGTGATGCACCCGACATCACCACACCGCTGATCGTTTTGTTGTTGCCGGTGTGACAGGAATAATAGTCCTCTAGGGACCTTCCTAACAAACAAGTCCACGTTGACACCACGTGGTGAGCACGTCTTAATGAATGTGACAACAAGGTTAATTTGAACTTGGTACCCACGTAAATCTATAGCCCTTTTTTACATGGAGTACACGTTTCACCCTCCCGTTACGTGTAACGTGGCAGCAATGTTACTCTAAACGTGGTTCCCACGTAAATCCATGAGAGGATTGAACGTGAAATACCCGTAAATCTGTAAGGTTGTAACGTGGAATACACGTTGCAGCTCCACGTTACCTATAAAGTGGCACCAACGTTACTTTGAACGTGGTTCCCACGTAAATTTGCAACCGCTTTTTACGTGGAATACACGTTTTAACCCCACGTTACATATAACGTGACAGTAACGTTACTTTGAACGTGGTTCCCACGTAAATTTGCACCCGCTTTTTACGTGGAATACACGTTTCAACCCCACGTTACCTATAACGTGGCAGCAACGTTACTTTGAATAAGATGATATAATATGTTTAACATTTGGCGATAACAATGATACCACGTTGATAAAACGTTGATTTCCCACGTCACATATATACCACATTTCTCCACGTGGTAAGGACGTTTTGTGTTTGCTGGGTTAGTCCGTTGCCAATTACTTTGTACAGGTAACATTCGTTCCATATACTAATCCCTATACTTCACTAAACCTGCACTAATCATATGGAATCTCGGACTTCTATTCCTAGGACTACCATTCTTGTCACACCGGTCTGCCATATGTGCTCGTTCATGCTTATATAACATCGTATGTATACACAAAACTATTAGTGTTATTTTCAAGTATTCTGAAGGTCGTTGTTTTGTTTTTCTTATTTCTTAGTTATAAAGAAATAGTCCCACAACAAGTGACTACAAACACGTTTTAAGTATTTCTTATATTAAGAAAGTTGTACGTAATGCGATTTATCTTCTAATGAACCAATCTNTATAAAGTGGCACCAACGTTACTTTGAACGTGGTTCCCACGTAAATTTGCAACCGCTTTTTACGTGGAATACACGTTTTAACCCCACGTTACATATAACGTGACAGTAACGTTACTTTGAACGTGGTTCCCACGTAAATTTGCACCCGCTTTTTACGTGGAATACACGTTTCAACCCCACGTTACCTATAACGTGGCAGCAACGTTACTTTGAATAAGATGATATAATATGTTTAACATTTGGCGATAACAATGATACCACGTTGATAAAACGTTGATTTCCCACGTCACATATATACCACATTTCTCCACGTGGTAAGGACGTTTTGTGTTTGCTGGGTTAGTCCGTTGCCAATTACTTTGTACAGGTAACATTCGTTCCATATACTAATCCCAATACTCCGGCTTCACTAAACCTGCACTAATCATATGGAATCTCGGACTTCTATTCCTAGGACTACCATTCTTGTCACACCGGTCTGCCATATGTGTTCGTTCATGCTTATATAACATCGTATGTATACACAAAACTATTAGTGTTATTTTCAAGTATTCTGAAGGTCGTTGTTTTGTTTTTCTTATTTCTTAGTTATAAAGAAATAGTCCCACAACAAGTGACTACAAACACGTTTTAAGTATTTCTTATATTAAGAAAGTTGTACGTAATGCGATTTATCTTCTAATGAACCAATCTCTTTCCATTTTAACTTCCTATGCCAATGAAGATTCATTATCCTCTTTGGTTTAAAATTGAAAATCAAATTAATAAGAAGTATAACGTTTTGTTCTATTAGGTACTCTCCCATCGGCATCGTCAGTCTGATGGCAGCTTCCCTGGCCGCCATTACCGAAATCGAGGAAACCCTGGCCAGAATAGGGCTGTTCGTTGTCACCGTCACAGCCGGGCTCGCCATCCATCAGCTTGTTGTGTTGCCGCTGCTATATTTCGTTATTGTTAGAAATAACCCCTTCCGTTTCTTCTTTTCCAACATTCCAGCATGGGTGACAGCTTTTGCGTCCACTAGCGGGTAAGTGTTTTTTTTTTCTTTTATCTATAGACCTACATTGTACATTTTGACCGATGGTTTTTCTGAATTAGACATACTCGTAACATGATAACTTGAACTGAATGGGTAATTTTCGCTTCAGGCTGCAATCGAATACTGAGAATGTTTCCCTAGAAGAATCTGCAAAAGACTAACTTTGATTAAAAGTACATCGGTTTTACATTTTCAGAGCAATGGCGATTCCCGACGTGATTAAAGCTTGTGAAGAAAAGCACAAAATCGACTCGCGTCTTACAAGGTTTGCTGTCCCATTCGTGACGACTCTTAATGCAGATGGTAGTGCATTGTACATAGTCTCTGCATCTATGTTTCTCAGTCAGTTGGAGGGATTTACGTTGGACGCTGGGCAAATTGTTATGTTGGTGTAAGTTAACTTTGTTGGAATCACGTGTCTCTCTCCTTCCTTTGAACGGAATTCAAAATTGATATTAATATTGATATCACTGAAATAACATTCTTTTTTTTTTTAGAATAGCAAAATTGTAAAAGAAGTATCTAAAGTTAATTTCCATTGAATATGTTTCTCTAACAATGCGCTTCCTCTACCTTACGTGTATCTGTCTTGCAGATGACAACTGTGAGGTAAACCTGAGAAATTGATATTCAAATAATACTATTCTTTTCCTACAGGACACTGACCACAGTAGCCTGCATGGCCCTTCCATCTGTCCCCAGCTCTAGCATCGTTACCATAGTGATTTTACTGACCTCCCTCAATCTTCCCGTCAAGGAAATAGCGCTGCTGTTCACAGTCGAATGGTTACTGTAAGTGATGGGAATCAACACTTTCATCGTTTGAATTTTCATAGGGAACACAGTCGAGGTGTTGATGTATTTAGTAACAATAGTACGTATGCAATAATTAGGTGTTTTCTATAGCTTTTTATTGACTTACAAAATGTGGATAGAAAAACTGTTCATATTATATAAAAAATATTATTCTGGTTTCAGTGATCGGTTAAGGACAACAAGCAATGTTATGAGCCATGCTATGAGCGTGCCAATTATCTACAGATTTTGTAAAGAAGATTTAAAAAATCAACCCGAACAAACCCAGGAAAGAAAAGTGCGATTTGATTTGGATGATTATTCGGAAGGATACGGAAGCGATGACAAAAGACTTAACTCGGAAGAAATGGTAGAGATTGCAACTCATAATCTCTAACTACACCAGGGTCCGCTTGTCCTGTTACAAAATTATTGTACAGCCTATACTTTATTTTTGTAGACTGTTTTAAAGGCCCCTGATATCAGAGGGTGATCTCTAAACATATGAACCCTTGTCTTAAAGAAGAGGCAATGGTATTTACCTGACCAAAGCAAGCCCCTTCCAGACAGTGTTTGAGGCACCACAGTAAGCCCAAAGAGAACCCGAATCCGAACAATTTTTTTTCTTGATGGTGATATCTTTGATGGTGATATCAAAATGAACAAACATATAATTCAGATTGACGGCATGAGGTTTACATATTTTACGGTGATTCCGAAGACTTTAAGTATATCATAAATTCTGAAGTCTTAATTAGGCTAAGTATATTGATACCTTCTTACATAACGTCCCAGTAATACGTACATCAAGTTTCTTACAAATATCTAAGCAATAGAATATTATTTTTTTGTTTTACACTTACAAAAGTTTATGGCATCTAAAAGTTCATAATAGAAAATGGGTCAGTTTATTAGAATCTCAAACGTTTAGCTTTTTGAGTTTAAAAACAGGTCTAAATTTATTCTCCAATAACAGGCCTACCCAACTACCAGACTCTGCACGAATGATCCTGAATTCACAGGTATAACAGACCACACTACCCGTTTTCAAGGTGCGAGTCAGATCGCATTTCACAGTATCATACCCCGAACAAATTTGTGTGGTGATGCAATACTTTTCAACCCCGCTGATAATCGTCACTATCACATCGCGTACTAGGCAAGAGCGGTGTCGCGTCTGATACTGTGAAATGCGTACTGATACACACCTTGAAAACGGGTAGTGTGGTCCGATCTACCGGTGAATTCAGGATCATTCGGTGCCGAGTCTGGTAGTTGGGTAGGCCTGAATAAGATCTCATATTTTCACCCTTATTTTACTTAATTTTACGTCACAAAGACAAAATGAAATAAAGTACACACTAAGTTTCAAAATTTTGTTCATTTTATTGCCACAAGACTTGTTAAGTACAGGTCATCATGTATTGTTCTTCTACTGACCACAGGTCAAGAGTAATGATGACCGAGGGTGAACACTACACCTGCTGCCACACAGACACCAATGGAAGCTCCTCAAAACGCCATGCAGCTACACAATATAAGTTAAGGACATCATAACTTAGTAACAAAAATTCTCAATCAACAATTATGTACAATGCTAGTATCTTTACAGCTATGAACTACTAGAAAGGCACCACAATAGATTGCGATCACTATAGTACACTGTTTGTAGAAACTGTATCTGTTTACTTAGCAGCCCCCTACGTACTGTACATAATGTTTGAATGTAAGAACACATAGACACACTTAACCATTCCAAATTGGTTTTTCATTTCTGCAAGTCATTGTACTTTAAGCCTTGCCCCCATTCATAATCCATAAATAGATTAAAATCTAGTGGTGATATGCTTTTTACAGGTACATATATAAAACTTCAGAACAGCTTAAAAACGTACAAACTGTAAGTTAATGTCTTGAAGGTACAATGCCCACACCATGCTCTCTGTCCAATGTGAAGTCTTCTTTTATTGCAGAAATTAACTCTACCACACCAAAAATGCACCAAAGCTTGGCATTCATTTACTACTTTGTTTTTTAAGGCCCATAGCAGTTTCAGTAAAATAAAATTCAAGTCAAATTCAATTCTGCTTCCTCAATGTACGGGAGCAATAACCACACTTATCATTTAGCAGCTACAACTGAAACAGATTTAAAAGTTGTGTGGCATTTAAAAGGAAAACATAGAGAGGGAAGAGGTAGCAGTGTAAGTACAAATTAAAATATTTCTCATCATTCTCTAAGAGACAAATAGCTGATGTGACCTGCAGCCTTTCTCTACGAATAAAAATTCAATGGAATTTGCAGGAATTTGGGGGGAGGGGGCGCAAAATAAAAATGTGACCAGATTTTCACAATGTAGAGGTGAACTTATGAAGCATTAATGCATAGCTTAAAAATTAGCACCAAAACATCTGCGCTGAATAGATAAGTTAATAATAACAAATATTGCACCATGTACCATACAATAAAATTGGATTGGCAGTCAAGTGTCAAGGACAAGTGCTCCAGAATGAAGTGCTTTGCTTCTATGCACACAACATCTATGATGGCAGTGAAACCATTTAGGCTAATGATAGACTATCCAAAGTATCATTAAAAGCCATTCAGTACTTCTCAAATGCTAACTTAATCGCTTGCTGATGGCATGCCCTCTAAAATAAGACTCAGATGTACAATTTAACTGTTTCAATGAAAAGCGGGTGTTTACGAACATCTTTTGGCTAGTGTTATCCAAATTATAAAAACATGACAGCATAACATGCAGAAATTTTTCGTTCAAGCAGTTTTAAACACCGGAGAATCTATCACACACTGCCTTGTTCAATATAACCCTGCAGCAACTGGTGCGCATACCACAGAAACTCAGTAGCCTGAAGCTATGAACACATGTCACAAACCACCCAAGGTTAAAAAAAAAAAAAAAAACATAAAGGATCAAGACAACCTGAGGGAGGAAGGCAAGCAAAATAGAAAATATTCTGTACAAATATTTACAAAAAATAATTTTATACAAAATGTACACGTTGGAATATTTCATAATTGCCAGTTTTAAACATCTTTTTTTTTTTCTAAATTTTTCAAGTGTCTGGAGTCAGCTAGAGATTTTTTCACAAATAGTGACAAAACTGTCATTACAATATCACTATTTTAATTCATAAAAATTGCGTCAGGGTTTTTAAAAAATTATATTTAGTACCATCATGTTTATCAACTCTGCAACTACCTGTATATATTGGCTTTCGTTAACAACACTGCAAGTAAAAGCTTACAGGTACTAACCTAAAAGAGCTGTGCCAGTACCTGACCACCTACCCACATAAGACAATCAGCACTGGGAAAGCTGCTATTCAGTTTATTAATAATTCACATACATCTGTCTGACTAGCTGTATGTAGTTTTTAGGTCATGCTCTTCATTGGACACATTATTATCTGAAAGGATGACCATGTTCTATGAACAAAGTTGTTTTCCTTGCCATAATTTGTTTTCCTTGCCATAATTACTGCAGAGACTTCCTCCATGTCTATCCATCAATTGTATGAACATATAACGTAAGTTTGTGATTAGTCTAAATGGAAAATCAATAGGACTTCACCGCCATACTTACTAAATGCCAGCAGTGTCATTTTTTTCCATAGACAGGAAAACAAAGTGGTGCAAAAAAGATCTCACAGGTTTTGTGCATTCCATGATATGCTTCTCAATTATGCTGATATGGTTTCCAGATTTCATTCTTTTAAGATTTAAATGTGGAATCCAATCCTTGAAATGAATTTTATTTGCATTATAAAACTGGCCCTGGTGTGTTGTTCTACTGCATTGATGCACTGTGTTCCTGCATTGTGATATTTACTCCTCTATGTTCTCTACTGTATACAGCTATTGAGCTTGTCTATCCACTCCTGAGATGCTTGGACATTTGGTGCACAGAATACATACGATCTCTTCACTGTCTTCATCTGTGAAAATAATGACAATCATTTGAATTCTTTTTCTAAATCGATCTTTTTTCCAAGAAAACAAATGTTAAATAAAAGAGGAACCATTGCATTATATATGATCTGACATTACTGTCTGAAATGGCAGTAAAAAGCAGATAAAAACCTTTTTAAAACGTGGCATTTGTGAAAGAAGTACAACTTAGTTCTTAGACTAGATCTTAGAGTAAAGCCACGACAGTATTGAAATAAATAGACCACTTGGACCTTTCCTTTCACATTTCACGCACTGGTCAAATAGAAATGGTCTCATTAAAAAACCCTCTTTACCTCAAAGAAGGAGTTGTCCTCTGCTCTCTTGGGAGCACCTTGAAAGTTCTTGGATGTGCCCACAGAGGTGACCTCTGACAAGTCCAGGTAGCCCTTGCAGTGGCTGTCCTCCATAGCATCATACCACCGAAGCTAGGGTTGGAATGAAAAAGAAGAGTGGGAATTAACCAGAAATTAACCATGTATTTCATCAAAGATAAAATTTTAAGCAGCAAAACAATCTGAAGAAATACAAAAAGTTTAAACTTATCTGTTGGAATATGTATGAACCTAGTCTTTTTTAAATTTATTTTTCATTTTTTAGAAATTTAATGTTACATACATTTGTGCAGCAAATATATATATATATCTTGCTTATAATGACCAATCCTAAATTCCACATGAAGACACCATTAAGGGTATCTGTAGGCAAATTAAAGAACACAAGATGAAAAATGAACATGATAAAACAGCTCAAAATTATTTGGAATGATAACTAGAGGATCAGAGAGGCGATACNTATATAAATATTTCTGTAGTACCAGATAATTTTAAACAAAGTACCTGATGTTTCATAGAATCCAGCACAAACCACCTCTGTTTCCACTGTTTGAGCAGAGCCCCCTGCTTGAGAAGATAGCCCTCATGTGTTCTGTGCTCCTGAGCTCTGGCTGAGAACTGCCTGTACATATCACGACTAGCCTGGATGGTTACATCCCCTAGAATTTGTGCAGCAAATATATATATCTTGATATAGATTTTAGTACAGTCAAGGCGTACTGAGAAATCTTTATAGATATAACTCATGAAATGTTTACATTTTCTGAATCTTTTTCTGTATCTGTGTCTTTTTCTTAGAGGTTGATATCAAATATTGCAACAAAACAAAAGTTAAATCTTTTTGAGTAAAAAGCATTTTCGATAACTCTTAAACACAAGAAATATATTTTCTCTTTCATATCATTCAGCATTTTTTAAAAAGTTAAACTTTAAAAGCATAAAATGAGATATGGATATGCCAAACATGGGCAACTCATAAAGTACATATTTAGCATTCAAGCTAACTAACTCACCAGGTGCGTGGGGCTGGGCCTCTGCAAGGTTCACACTGCTGTCTGGCTGCTCTGAAGGGGTCCGGATTAATTTGGCACAGTTTTTGGGAACAGAGGACACACATTTCTCATGGCAGTTATACCCACAGTCTGCACATCTCATTCCTATTAAAAAGAAAACACAGATGCTTAAGAATAAATATTGTTGTCACAAAGATCTTATTCATGGTCACCCTTGTTTCCATCTTAAGCATTTATTCCATTCTTCCTAAACATGATGTATATTGGTCTGTTTAACACTTAGAGCTTTTCATAAAGAATGAACCCCATCAGGTCTCTTCTTGTAATTGAATGAATTTTCTTGTTCTCACCCAAAGTCACAGAGGAAGCACCTGTAGTCAACTCTTATTTTTCACTGACCTTGTTTCACTTGTGTCAGCCCCCACAGTAGATGTCCACAATGATCACAGTAACTTGCAGTAGTAAAGTCAAATTTTTCAAACCGATGTGGTTGTCCAAAACTTTTGATTGCATCCCCGGCCATTTTCCCTCGCACAAGAATTTCTAAAGTGGATCGTTTATGTAAAGTCCTTCCATGCGAACGTGTAAGTCTTGTTTTCAGTGACATTTGTCGCTGTAATGTTTCAGATTGCGGATGGTCTAATTTCTCCCAAACGGCTTTCCATTTCATAGGAAGATGGTCTAGCTTTGTCTGTGTCTTATGAATATCCTGAAATAGGAGTTAAAAAGGTTACTTAGTGAGTCTGGCTGGGAGGTTTATGAATTTTAAAATTTTAGGATGGGGATAAAAGTAAGGAAAGGAACAAGGAGAAAGGTGGACAATGATCCCAAATTCAATACAACTATCATGTTCAAAATGGTAATATATATATATATATATATATTGAGAACTAAGGACAGAATCAAACATACAAACACATAAATACACATCTTACCTGAAAAGCTAAAGAAAAACACTCAGGTTCTAAATGCCAGATAGTGTCATAACACCCATTCACTATCCGCCTGCTACTGGGGGCCAGTGGTCCGTCTATGGCCTCTATCTCCTCATTCTGCTTCTTGTCCATGTACATGGTTTCAAAGTCATATGGTGGTCCATGGGAGAGATCCTCTGTGAGATAGTAGTCCCAGAGCTCCAGGCTGGCTATGCCAGAGTATGGTCTCAGAACCTGGATCAGAAAAGTTAATTGAAATTCATCACTAGAGACAACAGTGCTCAATTTTTTTTAGTAAAATAAGTGAACAGATAGCTTTTGACATAAATTATTTAGGCAGGTCAGTTTAAATATTATTCTCAGACAAATCTGACATATTATGCATGTTTACTGCGAAAATATTATTCTCAGACAAATTTTACATATAATGCCTTTTCCTAAAATAATAAGTGAAACAAAATTAAAATATGAACTGCATTTTATTTTGTGTCATCTATTGTTTAAAATTCAACATATTTAAGTAATATGACAGGGTTGTTAATCTTGACAGCTTACAATTCAAGAAGCATGTTCAAAGCACTGAATTAATTAACAGAAATCAAAATATCATGATACAGATATTAATGTTTTTTAATTTTCTTGCTCAAAACAATATACGACTTACATTGGTGCCATCCATTGAAACATAACTAAAGTTATAAAAGACAGGAGATCTTCTGTGATGTTTGTCTATGTAATCCCACACAGATGTCCCCATTGTTTGCCTCAATGTAAATCCGTCCTCTCCTGTTGCAGCGCCATCTATTTTACTGGTCTTTGGCTTCTCTTCAAGCAACCAACCAGCTTCCATACGCTCACTCTCGTTATCCAACATAAAAGTCCGGAAACGATTTGAAACTGTGTGATAGGCCAGGAACTTGAGAAAGAAGTCATTGTATTCAAAAGACAAAGGGAACTGCCGATGAACCTGTAACAAAAAGAGTAGTCTTAAATAACATCCATGATAAACTTGAATAGCTGGATGAAAATTTTTGTTCACTGGTTTTTGTTTAATTTTTTTCCCTTCTGTAATGAGTTTACAAAAACATACATTTTGCTGAAGTATTTAACTTTTCATATTAAAAAGTACATATTTAACAAACATAAATCACCTGGTGAACCGCATCTAGGAACTGCAGGAAGACTGGAGCAAACCCACTGGCCTGGTTGGCAGCTGTCTGGTTACTACGGTGAGTAAACCGATGTCCAAATGATAGCCACTCCTTTTCTACCAGTGCCTGAAAAGATGGTATAAGTACCACCTTTCAAATTCTATGTAATAGTATTCCTTTCTACTTTCGGAGTTTAAGAGTGTATTATCAAAATGTTTCTCAAAAGAACAGTGACGATGCTATACGATGTCACATCTGATGTATGACATTAGCAATGTCATGTGTCACTAATGACACAACACTCAACAAGCCATCAGCAGTTTCCAAACAAATCTTACAAAGTGAAAAAAATGAGTATTTTTTAGCCATCAAGCTGAAACTGTATGCACATCCTGTCTGTTTCATTCCCACTCTTTAAAGTTTTAAAAGTCAAGTTAGTTCCCACATTTAATACAATAGCTTTTATAAACCTAAGTAAAGGAAAACAGTACAATACCTGAAACCCTTTGATTGTCCTGTAGTATGGATCCAGGCACACCTGTGCCAGAGACACCACCTGTGTTGTGATGTCCCAGCCATCTTCTAGACACACCATCACTGAGGACCCCTGCAAGTCTATCAGGTCAACCACAGCTCCTGACAGCTGCATTAGACTTTGTAGCTGTAAAAATGGAGAATTCAATATTTCATATACTAATTGGAAAATCCTCTTCTAGAGACACCATTCTATCAGAGTTTATCTGGACCATCACACCTGACTGCAGCAGGAGACTGTGAAGCAATTTAAACAAATACAAAACATTTATATCATGACCGATTTTTCAAAAGAACGGATGAACCCTGAACATCCTTAAATAAATGTCAACTTAAGTCCTGAAACTTATTCATTCAAAAGTACACAGATGCACAAATGATGAGGCTGACTGATCTTGTTTATTATGGGCTGTAACATAAGTGAAATACACTGCGCACAAGTGAAACATATAGGCAAAATCATCATTATCATTACTGTCATGGTTATAATCTTCATTCTTTATGCTATCTTTACCTGTTGAAGCCACTCTGACTCCTGTACCAGTTTGTAGAAGCTGTGTTCAGCATCAGTGAGCAGAGCACTGGGGACACAGGCCCTTAATAACTTCTTAAAACTGGTCTTCACCTGGCGCACCTCATAGAAATCCACCGGGACAAACTCACATTTGGGGAATGAATCAACCTTGATGTTCTGAAAGTGAAATGTTGAAGTATGGAATAAACATCAAATTTTTGTCTTCATTTCATATGTGGCAACTTATAAAAAAATCCATGTACTTTACTTACTTATCCTCCTCGAGCCATGGTTAGCTCATAAGGCTTGTAGGCTCATCAAATTCATGTACTATAGAAATGATAAACCCTATAGTTTTCACCACTCACCTTCACTTGTGCTTTCTCCCCTAACACATACAGTGCTGCCTTATTAAGCCCTTGTGTCTGAGACTCCAGCTCTGCAGAGTGGTCGATACTTCCATTGGACTTCATGGCCAGCCTCATTCCCACCTCCAGGCTTCCAGATGAGGTGACTGCCCGCCGGTCACGTACACTACCTAGTCTACCCAGAGCTGGTGGTGAAATAATGTGGAAAGTTAGGGTTAAGATATCTGAACAATCATTCAATGACAGGTCCCCATTCGTAAGTGAAATTATTTTTTATACTGATGGCAGACTTCAGTGTTTCACAAAGCCCTTGTGTATCTCAGATATAAATTCCGTTACTATGCCCTTCTACACCAAGTTGTGAGCTTAGTGAAAACTATGCAAACCAGGACATTTTTATTCCCTACCCCCTGGAAAGGATATGAAATCCATTCCTTTACAATTTAATGCTGATGGAGTCCATATAACACAATATGTACAAACCACACCCTTAATCTACAGCTTGTGACTTTGGTGCTGTCAGAAAAAATTTGTGCATTTGTTGGAAAAAAAAAGTAGAGGTGAACACCGTTGTTTATAAGCTTGAACAAATACTGAAACCATAAGCAATAATTACAACATCAATAAACAGTGTGGTAGAAGTTCAAATATATCAAGTTTCAGTAACAGACATACATGTCAGGTCTAAATAGACAGCTGATCTACTTGAGCTGATGATTATGCTTTTTACAAAGCTTTATTTTTAGGATAGCCTACACTATCAGCCTATCTAGCATTATATTAATGATACTGAACAGCCATGATTGTTTTCTTACAATGTGATAATCAAGTCAGTTTGGCCCCTGAACCATATACCCTGTTACATATAAACATATTGTTATCATTATTTCACACTTTAATACATGAGTATATGTACTTGCACATAATTTATATCCACACATATATATGGTTCTATATAATGTAAGTGTATGTATAAAATGGCAGGGTTATGAAATATATATACTGCATGGAACGTGTCCATTATAAAAGCCATCTTTCCCATTACAACCTGGGTGGAGTCTTGGTAGTCAAATACATACACTTTCCCCCTTTTCCAGCATTTGCTCGTAAACTTCCGTGTATAGTTCTCCTCAGCAGAGGACTGCGGCGACTCATAGTGGGGGTGGAAATACTATAGGCTACACCAGCTGAGTAAAGCAAGAAAACAGACCAAGGTCAGTTCAAGTCATTCCTCACACAGGATGGTTAATTTATCATGAGTTATACTGTATTGGTTATGTATATGTTATAGCCCCAGTGTGGGTAGGTGATTGGTACAAGCATTATTGTCTTGTGATGGGAAACAGAAGACATGCCAAGCCATGAAAAAAAAGGGAATGAAGCATGAATAGGCTTCTAAAAAAGACAATTTTAAAGATATAGCCAGTAAGTAAAAAATGAGCAAATAAAATGGGCTTTCAATCTTAACTAGCAAAAAACAAACTTCTATGCCATATTACAATAAACTCAATCATTTTAATCTAATCAAAACTATTACATTACAATAAAAGGATTTAAAATCTATGCATCAAACAAAACCTAATGCCTCAAATAAACAAAAAATATTTTGGGGAAATGAAACTTGCACTAGACTAATTTAAAGGAAGAATGTAATTATAGAATAATAGCAAGCAAAATAATTTTGTTGTTAGTAAAATGAATGTTAGAGCCATGAAAGATAATTTAGCAATGAAGTAGCTCATCAAGTCAATAGTTCTACCCTGAGTTCTACCAGTCCTATGGATTATTTATTGGGTTACATATCTAAATGTGAAAAGAGTATATTATAAAGATATGCAAAGAGAGGACATTACTTGGAATAATCCTGCACCATCATTGAATGTAAAATGTGCAGCAAGCCAGTCTAACACAAGCTCCCCTGCTGCTGGTAAAGTACAACCTGTTAATGTGGTATCCATTCACCAGACAAAGAGGCACGATCTTTGGAGAAAAAAACAATCTTAACAACAAACACAATCACACTGTTATATCGTTTAGATTGCATGGGCCAAGACCTTTAAATCAGGGTACCAAACTCAGAATAGATGGATAGAAACCAAACTTTTTACACACCATTCAAAGTCCGACCAGTACGATGCTTTTTTGGTTGATTCTCTAAATACCAAACAATGCTTATTAGTTGTCATAGGGGTTTTTTTTTTACCTGCTAGTGCACTCTCCCTAGAATTGTTTGCCATACAGTTGTCTGTTACTGAAACATTGTTGATCAGAGATAATTTGAAGTGTGCAATGCCACCACCTGTTATCATCAACATTTTGTTTGGTCATTGGCAGCAGCTTTTATGCCTTAAGTTTTTCATTCAGAGCATTGTACTTTTCAATGGATTCATCACAGTAAGCCAAGAAAAGGTTTTTAAAATTTCCAAAATTTTGCGCTAAAAATGCATTGAAGAAAATGCCACTGCTGCCTCCGATGCAACCTTGTACAACATGTTATATATACATAACACCGAACTCACATTGTTATATGCATATATAACACCCAGTTCGCACTGTTATATACATTAACATATATAACACCCACTATGGACTGTTATATAGAAATATCACACCTAGCTCACACTGCTATAAACATAGACTATATAAATAACACTGACCAGTCACCACCACCACAGGTAGTAGCAGGTGAGATACATGGTATTTACATTATAACATTATACTCACCAACCACTTAGAGCTATACTGTATGCTAAATCACCTGTCTTTAATTATTTCAATTACACATGATTCTACATCTAACATGCATTTCTATACATTATTATTCACAATTATGTACAAATTACTGATGTGCTATGTATTATCTGTGACTACTTATTCTTCTATTTTTCAACATTATCTAACATTGACACAATGGATCTATTTTTTTTAACAGAAAAAGCACAAAGTGGTTGGCAAAAACATCACCACACCCAAATACTAAAAACATGAAACAAATAAAACTAAGATGTGAGGGCCAGCCAAGTGAGTGAAGAAATGACATCTACTAAATAATATTTTAAGTTAAAATGTAAGATTATCTTATTAAACATTATCTTAGATTTGGAAGAATGTTTGTTAACTCAAAAATTAAATTTTACCTCCCATTATGAAAATTTGGTCAGTTTTGTAAACAAAATATGAAATCTCAGGTTATTTCTATTCCTCAAACCTGGCACACAACATACTAGTAATTACCAAAATTTCATTTTGATAGAACCATGTGACCAATTAAGTGACTAATGTTTTTAAAAAATTGTGCATTAGCTTAGATAATAAGTTGAAAAATACACAAAAAACAATCACCAATGTGAGAGAAAAGAGGAAAGTTAGACAACATAAATACATCGAATTTCCCTGCACAGGAAAAAAAAATAATAAAGTGAAATAGTGAGTTCCCAACCCAAAATCCACTGTGCAGGTTAGTGAAGCACGGTCACAGCAAACCAATACTGACTCTTTGTTGAACTCTTAAGTCAGGCAATCAAAACAACCACTCTTGTCAAATGTGGTGCATGTGCGGCATACTTCAAAGTTAAATCAAGTCTTAAAAATTTTTAGGGTGAGCATGGAATTTGTTTCTTTTCAATTTCAGGACAGAAAAAAATTCAAACCATCTTCGTATCAGTTTGGCATGGTCCTCTCCTATTCTTATCAAACAGCTATCAAACATAATGGGATAATTTCTCTCTATTGGGAAAGGGGGGGATTGGGGTGGACAGAACAAGGACAGGACTGAACTACAAACTAGTCTCTTCCTAATAATCATCACTGGTTGCTCAATTTCCACAACCATGCAGCCATGCTTACATTTGACTTTCCCGCCACTACTGCGCAAGCTATTGACGGCACGAGCGATAGGATTCTTGCGAGACAGAGAAGGTGTATCAGGTAGCGCTAGTGTGTCAGTGGACAGCATCAGAGAGTCAATACTGGTCAGCGAATCGCTGAGAGATTTGTTGTGACTTTGTTGTTGATGTTGAAGATTACCCATTGGAGTGCACTGCACTATGGCATGGAAGTACTTCTCCTGCTCCACACTGGTGGACGTGATTTCGCCCGAGGTTCCTGGAATAAAGATCAAAAGGTCAAGGTTAGCTTTATTAAAGTCAGATTTCCTCAATAAGCAAGACTAGAAAGATTTGCAATTATCATATGTATACCTGACTATTATGGATGTATTCAAACTTGCATTAATCTAATCTCCCTGAGGAGGATACTTCCTGTACTCCTGGGTGTGTGAATTAATCATTCACAATTATCAGCTCTAATATGCACACAAGGTTTGGCGTGAATAAACAAAAGTTCATGAAACATTTCATTCCATTCTTCTTCATTTATGACTAAGATAAAAACAAAACTATAATCTGATAGCCACTGAAATATTAGAGGACAAAAATATCAATATAACTGATGACGGAAGATAATGAATTATCTTCATCTTATTGAATTACAAAGGTTATTACATTCACTATAATGTGTCATTTAAAAATAAAATTAAAGGTTGATGTTTGATCTAATAATATATGAATTAAACAGTTATGTTATTTAATTTCAGGTTGCCTATTTGTGAGTACTACTACCTGAGGGTGCATTGTGATGAGACTTGAACATTCCCATCATGCCTTTGCTGTGAAAGCCACTGGCACGTAGTAAGAGAGCTTTGGTTTTTGGATGATACCATGACACCACAGGAAACCTACATGAATAAAGTATCTTGAGATAAAACATGGGAAAGCCATTTCAACAAAATGAAAGATTATTACAGTGAGAATTATTTTTATCCAGTAGTAAATATTCCCTATAAACAAACCTAGGTATATAAGTGCCTGTCCTGGGGTATAAAACCATCAGTTTAGTCTTGGTTTTTGGTAAGTTTAGGCCGTGTATGACTGCCACATGATGGCACAAAAATGTAATCACGACTTCACCAAGACAGTAGCAACTGATTAAAATTTAGTGGAAAAAGCTCCTCATAAATGTATGAATTTCCATTAAAAAACTTCTTTGTCATGTACCTGTACTGCCTATGACTCCTGGCAAACTTCCTTATGCTGTCATCAGACACTGTCTGTGGTACCACTAGCATTGCTGGGTAGCTAGAAATACATGTATAACTTAAAACACATGGACCAGAACATATGTACTTATCTTGATTTGATATACCTCTGTAAATTTTATGATTATATATGTTTGGATATTGCAATCTGTCTAGTAAACACCTATAATAGTATATCAAATTTAAGAATAAGAAGACATGATTCAAGTACTGTGCAGCAACCACTAAATTCGACCAAAATTTACTATATTCCTCACAAAAGTTTTGTTAGCAATACATGGAAAAATTCTGATTTTAAAGTTGTGAAAAGCAACAAAGGTTCAACTTAAAAATGTCTGTTATTAAAAATTGGTAAAACTGAAAATTTTTTTTCTCTTTTTTTGCAATAAGTGAAGTGACTGTGGGTATTTATTCAATTTGTAACCAATAAACAACCCATTCTTTACCCTACCTTTCCCACAACAACCTAAAAACTTACCTCCTACACACAGAATATGTGGCATTGACTGTGGTGATCCGAAAAGGTTCAGTTTTAGACTTGGCACTGTTAAAGTTTAGACTTCCCAGGCCCAGTCTCTGGTAGTCTTTATACCCAGCCCTCTCTCCAAGCCGCTCCAGGTTCTTGGGGTCTGGGGTCCATGACATAACTGGTTCGTTCTCATCCATTACTGGCAGATAATGAAGCAGAATAATAAGTATTCTAATCATGCCATATAAAGGTCCATTTCCCATAGAGATGGGCAATTCTAACTTAGCAGTTAGGATTTCTAACTACAGACAGCCAATCTAATCCCTTTGCTATCTCATCACCAATGACACAAAAGCAAGTAATGTGCTACTAGATTTGCAATCTATAGATAGAATGACAAGATAGCTATAAAACTAAATGACAAGAAGTATGGAAAAAGACCAGCCCAAATCTACTGAAAATACAATAATTGACAACTATTCAGAATCAGAACCTAAAACCTTCAGTTTTCAACTGTATGCAAAAGCTTTTAAGTAGCAAATAGTTTAGCAATTAACAGTAAAAACATCCTTGCCACTGATGAGATATTTAAAATAATTTAAAGGTAAAACATCCAGGTTGATACCTGCCAGTGAATAATAAGATTTTATCTCAGTGCCACTTGGTTCAATACAAAGTTATACATGCACAATTTATGTAGCATTTCTTATAAAGCATGATTCAACAGCAATGAACAGCATGAACAACTTAACATATTTATATTTCAGTGTAAAATTAGCATGGTAATTTAGTACAAAATAATTTTGCTATTCATTTCTAACAGTTGATCTGATCATTAGTTTCCACACCTCAGATATATAACACCTGTGAACTTGAATGTTAAATTTTATATCCAATAATCAGTGCTAATAAAATCAATTCAGAATTCTGACTTTTCCCAAAAACAAATCATCAATTCAATAAAATTTTAGTTTAAATAGAGACTAGGTGATCAATAATTTGGATTTTCTCCACAAATTACGTTTATGCTAATTTCAGAAAAATAGCAGAAGTTTACATAGGTGCTATAAACTGAGTGTGAAAACCAAATCATCATGTAAGTCCGCCCGTATTCCAGCAGCCTGAGCTCACTACCTGATATACCTGCACCAAGACAAGACACCAATAGGGAGGGTGGAGTGAAGGAAGAACAACATGCTGTGCAACACTAAATCACATAAATGGAAATGGGTTCTAAACACTACATATGAGCTCTAAAATAAAGAGGTTGTTCTACTGTTGTTTCAATATTTGGCTTTTCTTTGGAAGTTAATTGTAGACTTGGTCAAAAGAATGCCGTATATCAAAATTAGGTTAATTTGGTTAGTCTACAAACATGGTTAAACAAATTTTATGAAATCTCTGAAAGGAAACCTTTTTAGTCTACATGTCCATACTCGTGAAAGACAAACCAATGAAAGTAATTTAATTAGATAATCAAATAATACAATCACAGATATAAAAAGTTACATCTAAAAAAATTGTCAAATAGTATCTAAGATGACAAGAGTGATTAACATCTAAATGAAAAGTGACAGTTCTAAAGCATAGTCAAAAGACTCAATCTGATTTCAACTGGTAATCATAACACCCCAACATCTCTTATTTAAAGCCAATCACACAGAGGATGAAAAGTAAATTAATAAAAGCATCAATTATTGACATCTGGTTAAGATTCTAAGTGCTACTGTGAACCTAGAAAGAGCTAAAAAAACCTGCAAAGCACAAGCAGTTTTCAATTTCTTTTCAAATAAGCAGTCAAGAAAAGATAACAGATAAAGCTGTGAGTTTAGTGAAGGTACCAAAGACTGGAATTTAAAAAGAAATCTAGGTCAAGGTCAATGAAACCACAGGGACTGGGTCAAGGTGAAGGTCAGGAGAGGTCCAGCTCTGAATCTACAGGCTACTCACATGACTCATCATCAAACACACCACTGGCTGGCCTGCTGTCTGAGTCCATACTATCCAAAGAGGCTGTACTGCGCCGAGATGGTGGTGGTGTGGGCAGGATGTACTTCTGCTTTCTTTGTGAAGTTGAAGCTGACTTTGGCTTAGCTAGACCTGCTTTCCTGGCTGTCTTCATTAGTGTCTTTTTGGCAAAGCCCCTGCAAAAGAAATTTTGGCAAAAGGTTATTTGTCTTTCCAATTTAAGACACTGTTTTGATTCATTGCTCTATTTTATTGGAAAATACCTTTACCACTCCACAATAAGCACAATTTTAGTTTTCAATATTCTATTAAATAGACAGCCTTAAATCAAAAACAGCATTTCCACTTACTTTAACGATGCATGTTTTTCTTTGTGCTTGATGAGTTGGGCTGGTTGGGCAAACTGATAGCCAGAGAATGCAAAAGTGCTGAACACAGAGATTGGACTGCGAATCTTGCTGGTCAACTTGCGAAATGTCTCCACATCTTCTGAACTGACCTCCTCATCAAACCCCACTTTCATCAACTGAAGAGTAAGAAAGTCAATGCATTTGTAACATCTGACCTGTTGCTAAATGATGTTTAACATTTGGATGGATACCAATAAATAAATAAGTAAATATACAAATATACAATAAAAATTTCTGACTATGGTGTAAATACAATCTTGAACTTCCATGACAGTGCCAAACACGGACACCTCTTAAGTATCTTCACTTTCCTCAAAATTGCACACACCCATCATAACAACTGCTTTTCTACAATGAAACAATTAAATAAAATATATGTTTTCAATGTTGTTATATTTTACAGAAGCCATATTTCCCTACCTGGAATGTGTTTGCCCTCATCTGTATGATCTCCTGTAGGTACTGGTCAACATAAGACAAGTACTGGGAGCTCAGCTTCTTCTCTTTGGTTAACGTGGACACAGGGAAGTAGCGTACCACTATCTGTTCACAGGCTGGAAGCAACATTATAATCATTATTGTTAACTTATTTATCATATGAAATCCTGTGTATTTTGTCAACTTACTTTGGAATACTATCAAAAATCATCAATTCCTTGGCCAAAACAATGTAGCTGATATTCATATCATTTTTCCTTTTCATTCAGTCATACATGGAATCTGTTGAATGACTACTGATAACATTGTGGGTATATTATAATTATTAATATTCACTTAGGTGACTTTGCATAACCTTTTTTAAAACCTACCCAAAGGATCACAAGGTGTTCCTTTAAAGATGATTCTATAAGTGGTAAGGAAGATGGCGCCCTCTGCTGGTATGAGAGCGGGGCCTCCTGTGCTGCCCCCTGTTGCTTCTTCCCTACCATCAGGCAGCAGATATACACGCAATCCTTCCATGACGATTTCTTCTCCAGGGAGCAAGGTGGGAGTGAGAATCTTTGGCTGCAAAAAGATAGAGGTTTCATATAAATAATAGTTTTGTTGTAATATTTAAGTTTTTTTTTCTTAGAAATAACATTCCTGATTTAAATGTCCTTTGCAGAAATGTATTTCTAAATATTTCCACTGGTTCCAACAACTCAAAATCTAAAAACAACATCATGTTAATTTACAAACCCATATTTCTTGAACTGTTATTTCAAAGTATAACAATTATTCCACAAATTTTCTTTGGTTAAAAATCCAGATCTACATCTTACGTTGCACAACACTTGCGTACCTTTTGAATGGGTGGTAGTCTCTTGCTCTCCCTGGCCACTGCCTCTAATGTCTCTATATGCATAGCCACCACCCCAGGGATCATCTGGTGTAGTGACCTGATATGATCAGCAGTCACACCACTCTCTGTACACACTTTGTCCACAAAACGACTAACAAATTTCACCACGTTAGCACCCACTTCTGAGATTTCTTGCTCGTCAAACCCACTTTCTGCATCCACGCTGTCACTTTCAGCAATACTGGAAGAATAGAAGTGGTCCTTTCTTTGAACATGACTATATAAAGAAAAGATACCAAAATGTTAATAATCTGTGTGACTCATGGTACAAACATATAAATTGCACAAAATTTCTAGCAATTCAAGTTTTGGTTTAAAGCATCAGTATAATTCAACATACAATTAACAATATCAATGGAATGATATAAGAAACTTAAGGTTTGCACAAAAATTTTTAAACAACTAATCACCCCAATCATCGTACTGACCTATTTGTTATATTACTGTTGCTTGCACTCTCCCAGTCTGCACCAAAGTGAAGGTTTGCCCCCCGCGTCACGTCCAGGGGGACCCGCATATACACCATCCTATTGGCGTAGTGAATGGCCTGACTGTACACTGTAGATTCTTCATTGTTGATCATCTCTTCCTTCTCTGACTCGGAAAGATTGGGCCATTTTCTCAGCTAAAAGGAATGAGATGTTCATGGTTCAGGTGACACTTATTTAGATATTTACAAAAAAAAAAAAAAAAAAAAATCTTATAAACATATGCATATGCATAAGAAGTGCCAGCCAGACAAAATAACTGACAGTGAGTATGCTGCACTAAACAATTTCTTTTGTCATTTGATTTAAGGCTAGTTGGGCTCTGATTATGTAACATCAAATAACTTTTGCGTGATGAATAGAAGTAAATTTATTTCTATATCCATAGGCAATGTACTTTAGGTCAGGGTTTGTGAAATGTGTACAGTATCATCATAAAATTGTTTCTACAAAGAGAATCAAGGAATGTACTTCTCATACTCTGAACACATACTACTGTAACATTCAACTGGTGCTGAAATCAACAAACAGATATTACTTTTCAGTTTTACTGAAAGCCCTGTGATACATAGAACTCAGTTTCAGAGACACTGTCTGGCAAACAACAATTAAAGTGACACATATATAGCAACATCTAGTGCAAGAATTGTATACATGGCTTAATCTACACAAATGGCTACAGCAATAATTACAACAATAAAAATTAAAAAGTGTTATTTTGATACAAGAGGATGTTACTTGTGTTTTTCTTAAGAAAAAATATTTTACTAATAAAAAAGATTTAATAAAATAAGATAAGTTTTGCTTTAAGAGAAAAAATACAGATTTCTATCTCACATGCAAATGCCACCATTAGAAAATATGCATGCAATGCAGATTTTTGTTTTAATAATATATTAAATCCAGACTTTTTGTATGAAAATGAATCATTCAAAATGTGCATGTACAGCTTATAAATCTCAGAAATTAGGTTTAGTAGTTTTTTCATGCTTATCAAGGAAATTCTTTTAACTGTCTAGCTGCAAGGTATGACAACAGCCACTTTATAAAAAAAAATTCTAACAGCACACACACCACCAAGTCGCATCCTTCACTAGTACCAAAACAATTTCTATCAAACTAGTTAATGCATTTTCTGATTTTAAAAAATATCAGGCAGAATCTTTTAAATAAATAAATAAACAAACAAAATTCTCCCATTACTCATTCAAGTAAGTTTTTAAATATTAATAGAGATATACAGATATAGAAAAGATTCATTTTAATGATACTCAAATTAGAGCATAACATACAATTGTTATGGACAGTCAGTCAAACATAGGAAGATAGATAACTTGGTTGCAATAGCATGGGAATAGGTTTTTCATTGTCTCTAGTGTAGTGATGATAAAAAAGTAAATCATTTATAAAGAGAAAAGATGTATGTTTTTTTTTATCTTTAAAAATAAGGCATTATCTTTAAAACAATTAACTTTTTATATCAGTAAACTTGCATTCAGTGCAGAGTGACCCAGAGTTATGAACAGGTTACATCTGCAAGTCCAGCACAAGTATATAGTATATTAAAGGTATTTAATTATGTAATAGGTAGGTTTTTTTTAAAGTTTTCACTTGAAATATAGTGCTGAACTGAATAGTGCAATTTACAAATGTTTAAAAAGATGATAAGCAAACAACCGCCTTACTTGGCATTTTCAACAGAATGTCCTTCAAAAGAATTTGTTTGCATCTTTGAAATTTGTAACTCCAACTTTCATAATTTGGGGTCAACATACATACATGTAACAGTCAGAGTGGGAAACACCTTAAATACTTTTATATTTAACTGGCTGTCAACGTTACCCAATTTTATTTTATATGATGGCCACATATCATCTGTCTAGACTAGTTGAACAAAAACTCAAGAAGTCACTTCCACAACAAACTTAAACATGGCTACTACAGAAATTAACTTAGTTTTTGGACATAACTTTTCACAGGAATCTTCTCAAATATCATTTGGTGGCTAATTCTGATTTTTTTCTCCACAAGGAAGATGCTCACAATTTGGTCAAATTAAAATGTGAAGAATAAGCTCATTGCCATAACTGTTACCTCGGCTTAAAAAAAAAACTATAATTTTTTTCAAAAGTTGTCTTTTTTTGAGATAATTCCTGTGCAGTCAAGTTATTAGTCATCCAAATTAAGTACACTCTATGCTCAAGTCTATCTACCTGGGGGTCGTAGCATTTTGCCATCTTAACAGGAAAAGGTAAATTGAAGAATCATTGATTAGTATTCAACAAAGAGAAGTCCCTGATTTTGCAGAATCAAATTGAAAGAAACAAATTAAGCAAAAAAACATCTTAAAAGTGAAATAATTTGAAGAAAACATTTATGCTCATGCTAAATAACTGGAGGCATTTTGATAAAAACCAAAGGATGTTTTTGACTGGTTTAAACAAATCATGAAGTCAACTGCTCATTGCCAAAGTAAAACAATGTGCAACATGACAGTACAAGTATCTTGTCATATACACTTACATTACAAATGTATATAATTACAATATAACAATTTTAGTATCATAACAAGTGTGTAGAAGTACATTTGCTGATTCAGTTTAAAAGGGGTTTTGTGTCTATAATACAATAAAAACTTTCAGGGTTTATTTCTCAAACATCTCCTAAAAGGCACACATTTTACGAACATGGTGCATACTTGGAGGGAAAATATAAAATATCAACGTCATTAAATCTTAAAATAATTTTCAGGATAATATTCCAATCTTTCCACATATCAACATACCTGTTCAGCAGCTATTTCTAAAGCATTGACTTCTTTAGGCTTGAGATATTTCATGTTTGTAATGGACCGCCGCCTGGGATCCATTGGGGAGCCCTTCCATGAGCCAGTGGCTCCCCAGCTACTACTCAACTCAGCACCCTGAATTAGAAATTGAAATTGAATAAAGTTTTACACCTATACCCCAAATGTATTCTGCCAAGTCCATTTCACTATAAGCAATTTACATATATATTAATATACCACACATAATAAATTTGAATTTTTCATCTTATGCTTTTTTTCTGAAATATTCTATGTTTATCAAAACTCTGGAATACTTGTGTCATAAAAAAAAAATAATTGGCCAACTCAAGGGCACATTTTCAGTTTAAACCATCCAAGCCCTTTATTATACTTTTGGTTAACATATATACAATTGGTTCAAGCAAATAACAAGCTCATACCAGACCTACAACTTTGTTTTAAAAACAGCGGATCTAAATAACAAACAATCAACTATTTGTTGTGAGTACAGACCTCTGTGGTGGGACTGGCAGGAGGGCTCAGTTTGTCAGCGCTGTGTTCTTGTTCATACTGTGGTGCGTAGAGCTGCCTGATCTGCCTCTGGACGTCCTGGTAGAATGTGGCCTCCCAAAACTGGTGGTTGGCCCACACTGCATGCTCTTGTACACATGTGTAGGCAAACTGGATTACTCCTGTGCAGAGTTTCTGTAAAACCACAGCCATAAATTGAAAGAAGTGACACAGTGAAGTGTCCCGTTGACAAACACTAGGATTAGCTGTAAAAAATCTTTTTTTTTCCTATGGGGTGAGATAAATAACATTCTGTTTTGTAATTTGAAAGACAAGTTGGGAATGCATCCATTCTAAAATATAATCACATATTAAATCTTTGTACAAATTTGTCAACACGATTGTCCACTTTTATCAGTGGAAAAAGTTACATTGTAATATGCTCACCCTGCAGAATGAAGTAACCAAAGGAAGCATGGCTGCAGCAACACCATTTTCATCCATACTGGATTCATTCTGAAACACAACAAGCAATTTTACATAGCATACCACACATTTTTGAGGATTTTCTCAACATATCTACTTGTAGCATGACAGATAGAAGTATCAAAACAGCATTAGGAAACAAACAGTATTACATGGGGCCATGTAAATTATATTTGTGGCATGTAATCAAATAAATAATACATACTTTTTACAACTTACAAGCTTCACTAATGGTAAAACTTTAAATACCTGTAATGCACAGTTTAACAGCCTGACCACTAAATCAAACTGCTGGTGTTCTAGCATGGCTCTGTTGCTTTGGACATGATATGCTAACTCTTGACACAAAGCAAGCCTGGACACCTTGCTCTTCAGGGCACGTAATACTGCTGGGAAGACCTGACGCAGAACACAAACAATATCATATGCAATTCGGGTAATCTAACTAGGAAAGAAAAATCAAGCAAACTCATTTGTTTTAGTATATCATAATACATCATTTTTGTAAAAAAAAAAAAACCATTTCAAAAAAAGAGACACAAGTTTGAAAGTAATATCCTATGTCTATATAAAGAACATCCCTTCTCAAGCTTCTCGTGTTCTTAATTTGCTACTTACTTTCCTTGCATCTGAGATTTTGTTTTCAAATATACAGCTAACACAGTTGCGTAGGACCTCCAGTCTCCTGGCGTTGTTATTGAGCATTTGCATCTTCTCTGCAACAGTGGTGATATGTGGACCCATTGGCACAATGCGAGGCTGGGGCGGCCGGATCTGGGACAATCTACAAATACAATACCATCAATAGAAAAAAAATCAATCCAATCTGATAGATGTGACAAAAGCCTTTCAATAATTGTGAAAATATCCAATTTCTATAATATCAAGATTTAACCATTTGTTAATTCACGTGCTGCATCCAAAATCAATTCCAGAATGAATCAATAATCATGCAAACTACGGGGAATGCACTATTCACAAAAACAATTAATAACAAATATATGAATGAATAAATTCTGAGGAGAATGACTCTTAGATCGCATTCACAACGAGTTGAGCCAGGCTTTACAAATCCTGGGGACTAAATATGGTGGTCGTACATGAAAGAAAAACCACCTAATCTTTTAATAGTCTCTCCGCCTCTCACATGCCTCCCCACACGTCGTCCCTGCGGGGGGACAGTCATTAAATCTCGGCTCCATTAGGACGACACATGGGGAGGCGTGATCTTACTTAGACTTGATTCCACTCTTGGCCAGCCCGTCATCAATGATCTCCTGCACCATGATCCAGTCCAGGATAGGAAACTGGGGCTGATGGATGCGGGAGTAGGCGCCCTCTGGGGGCTTGGGGATTTTTTGCGTATACGGCTGTGGATTCGGATGCTCCTGGAACATCATGAAATGGCATTGAATCACAATGGTGCCAATAATATTTTATACTATTATTGATTCAGTGAGTTTTCTGCTATGTTTTCTATATGTGTATTGATTTGGTAGATGTATATTACTATAAACAATGCCTTCAACAAGTTTGCCCAATTAAAGAAAATCTATTTTGGGTGATACTTTCTTTAAACAAATTAAAGCAAAAGAAATTTGACACAGAGTAAAGATTTCAATAAATCTGAATTTCAAACTGGCATATCTGAGTTAAAAGAGCACTTACATTTATATATAGTTGCTGAGCTAAATCCTTAATACTCTGCATCATTTTTTCCTGACTGCCATTTTCATGTTTTATCATATCTGATAATGTAGCATACACCTAGAATAGGAACAAATAATGCAAACAAAGTTTAAAATACCTTCCATGCAATTAGCAAAAGCTGCCTCTATTTAATATTCACTTCTACACTAGATGACTAATAAAGAAACATAAAAAAATCTACAGTGCAGATGTTTCATTTATAACCATATACAAGAAATACCAAGAATCTAATTAAGTGAGAACAATATTTACAATTTACTGTCCAAGACAGCTTCCATATGTTTTTTGATAATTTAAAAAGCATGTTATGATATCCACCCCTTTGTGCTTGAAAGGTCATGCCACAGAGAGATTATTTTTAGGGATATCTGAACCAACAATATATCAAAATTGCTTTTTCAGTGCGACACTGTCACACTCACGTATGCCACTGACATACATGAATACACTTAAAATACTGGTGGCATGAGAAATATGATTCAGAGTAAAAAAGCCACATTTTTTTTCTGACACATACCTCATCAAATATGTCAATGACTCTGAAAGGTGGCCCTCTTTCAGAGACAAATGTACTGTATGACATGCCATCTAGCACCCTTGTCAGGAAATCTTCTGAGACCATTGCACGATGACCCAAAAAGCTGGCCTTCAAACAAAATTACAAAATTTAAGGATCATGATAAACATCTGAATTTCATAAAATTTATACATACTTCAGAAACTGTTCAGTCATCGCATATACGTAACTAAACACATTCTTAGTGATAAGAAAATTTTTTCTTCAAACAATTCATTTTTCTAATATAATCTTAATAAAACTAAACAGATTTACATTATCAATTCACTAATTGATTCACAAATAAATGGACATCATGCCTTCAATATGTACCTTGTGAAATGTAATGAAAGGTTCTGGGTGTATTCTTATTAGCGTTAGACATGACCTGTAGCCTGTGAACAGCTCTGCAAACAAACGCAGGAAGACAGCACGGATTTCTTTATCCTGGAAAGAGATAATTAAAACAATTAAAAAAATTCAATGGTTGGTATTGTTTCAGGGTTAGGCTGAAATCAGAAGCAATAGGGTACACCTATTTTACTACAGCAAGAAATGTTACTCTTAAAAACAAATATTTTAGTAACCAAGTGGCTGAAAACATTTTTTATTGGCAGGAGGTTATATCTCTGTTTCAACTAGTCAGATTACCTGCATAGTAAGGCTGGACAGCTTGGCAGGGTTTGGCGGGAAAGCATAGTCTGATGTGAACAACTCTGGGTTTAAAATCTGAAATATACCCTTCTTAGTGAATGGCAAGACTCATGAGAACATTTATCATGCTCAGTCAAATAACTGGGTTCACTTGAATCAATTGACACACTTCATATTTAACTACAATACAATTGCACGATACATTTAAGCAATATTCCTTAAAGTGATGCTATTAATTTTTAATTCATATTCAATATTCACAACCCTGCTGGACATGCTTACATATGAGGAGAAAATACTTAAAAACTTGTGATACATTTCACAAAAGTGGTTCATACTTCAAAACAGCTTCTACCACTAAGCTGAAAAGAGAAATAACTTAATTTGTGCAATTGATGAGGCTATTAGGTCTATTCCTGGTCCAGGTTTGAATACAGCTAAAATGAACAGCTAAAATGATTCAACATACCATGGTTAGTGCTTCAGTGGTCCTGCTGAGTACAATATTTGGCAATACTGGCACAGTTACACATTCAGGAACATGTACACTGCCACCATCCAGGTCTGCAATTATCACATCAAGCTGGAAAAATAGAAATAAAAATAGATTTTTGGTACAAAGAATATTTGGCAATACTGGTACAGTTACATACTAACACAATTACAATGTGTAGAAATAAAGAGATTATAGATTATTTTTTAGAATGGAGAAAAAGAGAGAGAAAGAGCAATTTACATTGTAGTAATGTGCATTTTTTATTATGCCTTACATATTTAAGTGTAAGTCAATATAGAATAGGGCTTCTGCTTACCAAATCTGAGACCTCGTCCTTGAGAGATGAGTGGACACCTGCTATGAATGGTGTGGGTGTGTTCAGCACTTCTAGTAAATGTGACGGAAGGAGGGGTATATACACATAACTGAAAAAAAAAACAACAACATCATAGCCATGTTGGAATGAAAAATCTATGATCAATGTAGTAAGTAAAAGTATGTGCACAGTTGACCAGGCAACAAAAACTAGGGGATTTGATATCCCATTTTTTATACTAGTTACTTGTCTTATTGGACTTGCTGCAACTTGACGTGGTTGTTGAAGTCTTTTCCCCCTTCCAACTAGATACTGACCATTGGGCTGAAATGTTACGAGACTGCCCTCTCTTAAATATAGTATTAGTGGAATAGGTCTTGAAGGTGAATCTTCCATATGTCATGATATTATCCACATTTCAAAGACTGAGACAAGTTGCACTCACCTATATTTGAGAGGGTACATAAGGGCCATAAGTGCTTGACTAGCTGCTGTAAGCCTGGTGTAGCTTTGGGAATGGAAGAGGACTTTGAGGTCTGTAGCAGCAGCACAAAAAAGCATGATGGTATTTGTAATGCCTAAAATGATAAAGACATGACTTACAAATTCAACTGGTAGGAACACATTTCCCATGTATGGATACTAATGCAAAAATAACATAATATCAGTATGATATACTTTGAATTTCTGAATCATCAGCTTTTAATTTCATTGAGGATGTAAGCTGTGTAAGAAATGTACCATTAACTCACAAGGGAGCAATACAGTGTAACATACCCATCTGCCTGAACAGCATAGCCACAGATGTTCCAGAAGTAGGTATGGTGCTGCTAACTGGGGGCTGCAGGGCCTGTCTGTCACCAGCACCTATAGAAAACCTGATCTGGGGCCCTCCTAAAAACAAAGGCAGTGTTACAAAATTAATTGATGTAAAGTAAACAAACAAACAAACAAACAGATAGACAGGAAAGCACATATATTAGTTGTTCACAAACCAAATGCAGGTAAGTACTAAGAAAACACTTCAGCATTTTAAGATGTAAACCATATTTACATAAATATTCCACACAGAAACTCTCCTTGACAAAGTTTTCTGTGACCAAACAAGATCAGGAATAAAAAATTATGACCACTTATTTTATTGAGTTTTGTATGATCACATACCTGGGGGTGGAACCTGCACACACCCTAAGATATTCCCTACCAAAGTCTCTATCTGGAACTGCATATTCTCCAGGTAAACTGTGTAGATAAGCCCCAAGCAGTTCTGAGGTGAAAAAATAATTATTATAATAATAATGAAAATGGTTACATGCACTAATGATAGGTCTATACAGGAACAGTTCATTCTAAAGATACTCACAACCATAACACTTATCTTTTAAAAAAGAGAAGAAACTTAAAATATTTACTGACAGGTTCACAAAAAATGAAGTCATATCAATAAGTTTACAAGAGGTAACTGCAGAGTTGTTGAGATTGCACAGAAGTGACATCAGAAAGACTGTCTTACCCTAAATGTTTCAAATTCAGGAAACTTGGAAACCAGCACCAAGCATTTGGGGGCATACATGAGTGATTGGCGTATTGGTGTACCGTCATCCCCATCTTCATCATCCGGCTTTGTGGACGTCATGGACACTGTCTCGTGGAATGTTAGACAGGCACAGTAATGGCGGTCTGCATCGATGTCCGTCAGAACTGAGACAAAGAAGGTGGGCGGGTGGCGCTGTGTTGATAGTGACCATCCTGTGGGTTGGCAAAACTGGAAGATGATGGCAACATTTACATAAATATTTTGGATATCCCACCATTGAAATATATATATGTCCTTAGGTGCCGTAACATAACTAGGACAACAAACCAAACTTACCAATCCAGTCACTAATGCAATATATTCAAATTTGATAGAATTCCTCATCATATCTTACTAAGTTAGCCAAATCAATCTGTATATTTTACCAAATGGGCTCCTTCAATATAGCTGACTGCTGAAGCATAGGAACCAAAGCTGAAAGTGAAGGATGATAGGTAGTCTATACTTTATTTTATGATGTGTGTTGTCCATATTACAACCACACTCTGCAATAACCATGCTTTGACCAGTTTCATCAGTGGTGCAATCAGGCAGTGTCACTGGTCATTTTACCACATTTCAACCTCTTTATGCTTTGTGAGTCAATAGCAGATGCTATCATTTTTATGCTACTCTGGTATAATATGTAATGGGTACCTAACCCTTGATTTCCAACATGAAAGGTAAGCACTCTACTTGAGCTATCTAGTCATTCCATTATCCAACGAATAGTCATGGAATTGTGGAAATATAACTCATTCATCTACATCTAAACAGTCTGGATTGCTGAATAGAACTGGTTTCACATGAGAACAGGCAGGATTAACAGCTGCAGCTCTGGGGACTTGAGAGATGTTTTAATCATTTCTTTAAACTTGGCAAGCACAACCTGATCATTAGTCCCAGTCATTGATTTTGTTCAGAGTCCTGAAGATAAAACAAGCTCTGTGCTAAAATATGCCAGTCAATCAATCACTGCATCTAACTGTGAACTGCATCCAATTGTATTGGTGAATACAATGGTGATAGTAAGAATTACAGTACCAGCAATGATAAAATAAAATGAAAACAAGTGTGTGTGTGTGTGTGTGTGTTTTCACACCTACTTATTCCAATCTCACCACAAAGTCATGGCACTGCTTGAAAGAAAACTGCTCAAATAACATCTTTCCTTGTGCACATGCCATATGAGATTTCCGGAAATCCTACATGCATATGACTGATTGTTATGCTTTACAATAAATATGAAAGAGGAACAGAAAGTGTTGACTGCTATATTTAAGAAATATCACTGCATTCACTTTCACAGTATCTAAAGCATGCTTAAGTCTAAATAAAGATATAACAGGCAATACCTTTGGCTTGTTAAAAGTCTCAAGATTCTTGAATAAGCATACACTGCTTAAATGAGAAAGCCTATTTTGTAAAGTTAAAGGTACAATATTGGTCTTGGATTGTTTTATGAAGACTATCCCACAACAAATGTAGCTGACATACTCATATATCTAAATGCGCTACATTGACACCACAGAGAGTACAAAATTATTGTAGAGACATTCCACTAAGTCCCTACAGCTAAGTCTTGGACCCATCATACATGTATGGTTCAAAGCTCCTGCCCCTCTGTTTTTACCAAGCAGTCTTTACCAAGCCTAATTATTGGCTTTCTCTGTTCTGTGAAGCAAATCCACCCCCATATTCCCTGCCAGTCTTACCAGTTCAATGCCTAGAGTGAAGGGAGAGCCTGGCCAGTCCTTCTCTGGAAACCTCTGGATGATTTTGCCTTGGCTTGTGCCACTTCCTGTAATACACAATTGAAGAAAACATTGTCATTTGGCATTGCTTCTATATGTTGCACTCTGTGAATTCTTAAAAACATCATCTGGAATATGAATAGCAAGAGCAAAAATTGTGATATCAATAACATATACAGAATTAATTTTTTCTCCTTTTTTATGCGTACACATTCATTAAATGTTGAAAATTATGGTTTTTCAATCCACACATAAATAAACAGTACAGTAGAGTACAGGTCGCTCAGTAAAATCTTTCTTGGGATATTAATGGCAAGTGCCCAAGAATTTAGTTATTGCTACAAGCACTGTAAAAAATCCAGTATGTTCCCAAGATATAGAAGCACTCAGCAAAGAGATACTCATTTTCATATGCCATCTAAAAGAAAGGTTCACAAGTTCAAGCTACTTTGCTGAATGGCTTTTTTATCTTAGCTTCTTGTTTACTCTTTAAGTATTCCTTTTACAGTGATCAGTTATTTGTCTGAGGCTACTTCATATAACCTATTCCTTTTAGATGGGCCTCATCCCCGATACTTTGCCATAGGAAGGTATTTCTAACATCTCTGAAAGGAAGCATTATCAGTGTAACTGTGTCTGCCCTTGTTGCCATTTCCTTCCAATTCCAACATTCTTGAGATTAAAAACAGCTAGCCATGCTCTGGTTTCAAGGTAAATTCCAATAAATATCTTCACCCCATTTTTGCAGTGCCATTTATCCTCTTTTAATATCCTTACACAAGACACTTTTTCTCTAATTTTTTAACATTTTCTCTCTCATAAATATATATCCTACAATACCTGATATATCAAAGATAAATTCTCTCAGTAGTTTTTTCTCCTTTCTTTATATAAAACTATACTGCTACTACATATTTACACAAAAAGAAAAAAAATGCTTTATGGAAAGTTGTAGTAAGCAAAATTGTAGTATGCAGCATCTTGTTCCATCTAATTTCAATTTCGATGTTATCAGAGGGTAAGAAATGCCTTATTATAAAAGTGATAGAAATGCCAGTGTACTAAATCTAACTTCGTAAGTGTGCCCCTACAGTACATGTATGTTTACACTTAGCCAAGGTCAAAAGAGGCTACAGCTAATAACACAGAACCAACTGAATTGGATGATACCTCACACTGAGTTCACTGCAAGGTATTTTCCCCTCCTCTGAAATACCTTTTCCAAAAAAACTCGAAACTCATTATTTACAAATGCACAAAACATACAGACAAGCAAAGAGAATCTGATTCAAAATGTAAAAAGGACAATCATTTTATTTCCTAATTCAAGGAAATATCTGTTTACATAATATCATGTGCTACTCATGTTGGTCTAACCTCAGAGTAAACTGCACTTCATGTTGAACACAGAGGGTCTCAAATATACAAATGAGATAGGCATGGCATTCAATATACACCACATTACATGCCACACTCTGAGCTAATTTTACCTGTATTCTATTACATAACACCTGCCAAGAATTTTGTCCTTGACTTAAAAATACTTTTTTAGCCAGTTAATTACCCCCCCCCCCCCACACACACACACACTCTTCACACATAAAAAGGAACACCATCAGCATAAAACTACTTATATCGTAAAGAGGGGGTTCTTAGCAGTTGCTTTGAAGGCAGTTAAATGTTGTTTCTGAGTGAAATATGTCTTTTTATCATTGAGATTGATGACTTCTGAAACATTGCCAAGCCAGCAGAACCCAGCATGAGTAAAACCAATCAGTAATTCAGAAACCCTGCTGCAGCACCTGATGTATTCCTTTAATGCTTTTAAGGATTACGGAATATGTTAGTGTTTTTGGGCATCAATCCTGCTTATTTATTTTCTTAATCTAAAAGGGTTTTTTCTTATAATATATGTCACATATTTTTGCTTCCTTAACCACTGGCGAGGTTTTTCAAGAACTCATTAACAAAATTATGTTTAAAGAGGCAGATTATTTTTATACTGAGAAAAAAAGAGGAAAGAAAGTTAAAGAAATAAATGTGCTTCATGGCAAGGGGCACCTACCAATCTTTGTTTCAGAAGCTTAACTCTGAATATTTGTAACACCTGGTTGAAAGATTTGCTTACAAACCTCCATAACAGGGCATTGCAGACGTGGCCTAGACACAGCAGAGATGGGGGAAATGTTCCTTTTAACTTTATCTCTCTGAACTACAACCACTGATTTTCAAGCACTGCTATCTTGATGTGATATGCTATGCTATACTTCTATGTTTTAGTCCAGGTAAATACACAGTAGCGTCTGTGTTTGGAGTTTAGGTGAGACTGTTTCAGGGCTGCATTGCCTTTTGCCTAAACAATCTGCTGAAATTCACTTGGAATTTTTTAAAAGTAAAGAGAACCATCTAATAATAGGATTTAAGCTTACTGATTTACAGACACTGAGAAGTGAATGCTAACAAAGTTGTCACAAGAAAAAGCACAGTGACGCTTGACATAAGCTTTATCTATGTCACTTTGATAAATGTTATTGAGAGAGAGAGAGAGAAAGAGAGAGAGAGAGAGTGTCAATCAAACTTAGACATTTTCATCTCAATTAAAATATTGAATGACAGAATTCAGAATTTTAATCATGCCATTCTTTCTGTCCAACTTAAATGAAGAGTAAAGACACTAAAAAACTTTTATATTAAAATGTAGTTAAGGTACGCGTTGGGTTTTATAGGATAATCTTAGGCGCATACTTTAAAATATATAAATGTGAAATTTAAGGAAAGGTGTACTTGTCATGCAATTGCATTATATATACACATGGAATAGTGTGCTTGGCAAGTTACAAGTAATAAAATGCAAACTGAAGCTAACAACTTGAATTGGACACAGAAAATATTTTTTGCAGTACAACACATGCCATTTCATTCATTTGTGGTATGATTTTAAACTGACAGTACTCACATTTCAGCAAAATCCCATCGGTCTAGTTATGTTATAATGATGGTTGTGATCTCCCTTTGCAAAGATGTACCTGCAGTTTCAACTAAAATACTAACTTGTTTGTAAAATACTATGTGGTTTACCAAACCTCTACAATGCTGTTCAACCACAGTTTGGGCCAATCATTGAGATAAACCACTTACCAATACTACTGATGCTATGACTACATAGAAATGGTCCAACATCTTGCTTACCTCCTTTTTACAATGACTTCATGCTATACACAGTTACTGGCACAGTGGTGTATTTTGTTATTACGCATGTTGGTGGTTTAAGTAAGAAGAAAAAAAAACATGCAGGCAATAACCTACATTATATGTAATGGCACACAACAGAATCCATATTTGTGTCGTGTTAGATGTACTTTACATTCAAGTTCTACAGGACTCAGTATGCAGCGATCTGAATGTTGACGTATTTACTAATGAAAGAAGACAAAATCTATTCTGTTGAGATTAATCTTTAATTAATGATCTATTTGATTTTTGATTACTTTTCCTAGAAAATGTAACAGTGTTGATACTGCACTGCATCACACTTGTGTGTAAAGACAAGCGACTCAAAAGCCAGCTTCATTAAAATTAGAAAAATACTGAAAAAGTAATAACCTAAAAACTGTAAATGTATTAAATGTATCACATTTTTGACCAAATGCAACACTTGACCAAGTAAAATGAATTGAATTTTTATTGAAGTTTTCAAATCTTATTAACACCAATTTTGATATGTGTGTGTGTGTGTGTGTGTGTGTGTGCGCGTGCACGCTCACGCACCTGTGCAAGAAAGAGAAACTTTAACTGGACCAGCAGCAGATAATACAAGTGACTTCCAGAAACAGGTGCAGAATCAGGTGTGATCTGTGTACTTCCCAGGTAAACCTCGCTTCCAGCCTGCTGCCAAATGCTTGAATACTGCACACAGCATGTTAACACTGGGAGTTTCAAACAAGAGACAATGAACACCTTGAGGTGGCTAAACGGATGAGCAATAGAATACAAAACTCCTGCAGAGAAAAATGAAAGTGGTTGGAATTCTTACAAATCACACAGGGACTGAAAGATTCTGTAAATAATATTTTGGCAGAGTTCCCTAAGCATATATATTTGACTTACATAGTATCATTATCAACGGTGCATTGTGACCGTTTAGTTGTACTTACCAAGCATCTAAAGCACTTACACAGAAATCAAAATATTTATCATTAGTAATTCAATCTGAAATTCACTATTGTTTACTCTCTTCTTGTATCCACAAAAACAAAAAAGAAAGATGTTCAAATTCTTTTTTCAATAATGATACACTAAACTTACATTTAAACCTATATTTCTTTGAAACAAGGACAGTGGATGCAGTATTTCAGCTTATATGGTTTTATTATGATTGCACATGGCTGAAAGTCAACACAGCTCACCAAAAGACCTAAAACTCTCATCCTACAGAAAATCAATTTTTCAGAGTTTATGCTATGTATATTTCTACTGCATACAGAATCATATTTCAATTCCTCGTGAATCCAATCAGTAAAATATGCATTAAAAAAATAAGAGCACTGAATTCAATATTCATGTTTGGTGCAAATGGTTCAAAGAAGCAGCACATTTTTTGTCAGTGACTTTGTCAATCATCTTGAATTAACACCTATACAATGTAAAATTTGATGACATGTACATTTGCACCAGCAGCTGTTCCTGACAATTAAATTAAAAGCTGCATCTATGCTCTTCATATCTCATCTTGGTATAAAAGTAATTTAAAATAAGTGTTGAGGAATAAACAAAAAGTTTGTTTCATAAATATCTTCATAACTATACAGACACTTCAGGTAAATTATGCTCTTATCAGTTTCCTAGTTGGTCATTAGTGAGTGACCACTGATAGCCACCTACTTACATGGGTCACTGGCCAGAATCCAGGTGTGTTAAACCAGTTGTATAGATCTATCCAGACTGGTCAGTAGTGGTTAAGGTTAAAGGGGCACTGCTAATGTCAACTGCCAAATCAAAAGTGACTTGGTTATTTTATGGCATGCTGATTGGTGCTGGAACATTTCAA